GGACTAGTCCAACTATGTCAACTCTTTTGATAGTCAAAGGAAAACGATCTATACTAGTGTTTAAGACACGTATAGCTGTAAATGGGCTGAATCAGAAAAAAATTTCCAATAACTCGAAAGAATTTAATGGAAAATGTTATGGATACACTAAGCAAGTACACCAAAACAAGCTAAATCAAGCTAGTTAGCTCTAATATACAATTTAGCTAAAAACTAAAATGTTATTGAGTTGCAAACTAGTTAGCTTAGGTATAAGCTAAAATGATTAATGAGGTACACAGAACCTAAGAGGAAGATGAAAAACTGTCAGTTGGTTTTAGCTCTTAACTTGATAGTAAAAAATATATATATATATGAGGGTAATGAGTAGCCATTTTAGCCATAAGCTATTTGAGTTATACATCATATCTGCTCATGTAAAAGGGAATAATACTACTTGTAAAGTAGTAGTTTTTGAAGAATATTCTTCAAAACAAATTACTCTACTACCAAGATAGACCACTTAGATAAGTGTGTACTAAAGGTATGAGCTACTAGAATTGCTAGCTAAACAAACTTAACTTCAAGCTAGCGGTAATAACTGAAAAGTAGGTGCTCATCATAATTTAGTAGTGAGATATGAGAAGAGTGTGTAATAATACTTGAGAAGTGAGTGCTCACTCTGTGGTGATTGTATCCAAAGCTTAAATAATAAGATAATTATTTGCTTAAATGATTGAGTTATGTGATGTGCAACACATGAAAGGTTAAATGTTAATATGACTGACTTAACATGAACCTAAACATGAATAACTCAATTTATAAATATAAAAGATGTAAAAACAAATATTAATTAGAGCCCATTGTAATTAATATCTTTAGCATTAATTCACGGTAATGTCAGTGAATTATTATAAGAATATGCTAAAGATAAAGTGAGTACATATGCACTAGAGACTGTTATATATACTTGTTGAGAAGCGAATATGGAACCTTGATAAGGTGGATGAGGTGAAGTATTTAATATATGGTACTTTCATAGTTGAAAAATCATAATAAATACATTAGAGATAAAACTTCAGGATTATCTCAAAGTTGTGGGGGGATATTGTCCATAGATAAAATTTGCTATGAGTTACCTCACCAAATAAGATATACTTATAAATGTAGGGTTCTTAATCCTAAGAAATTTTGGATAGAACCAAAAATCATTTATAGTATTATAACAATAGTGCATGTTGTTTCCTATGAGGAAAATATTATGGAACAATTAGAAAAGTTCTTTTTCCAGCGGAAGAGCAGAGTTATTTGTTCTAGTTGAAGAGTAAAGTGTGCAAGCTTATAAGTCATTGAGTGGATTAAAGCTAGTACCAAGACAATGACATAAATGTGATGTATAAGTCATTGTATGCCTTTTAAAAAAAAAAAAATTTAATGATATACTAATTAGTATATTTGATATGAAAGATTTAACATCTAATAACATAGTATATTCTCAATAGAGTGAGATTGAGATAATACTAGTTATGATAACAAAAGCCTAGCTAACTTTTGTAGATATAAATCTCAAATATAAATACTAGCCAAAGTATATCATTGGTTGAGATTGCAAGGCATCTTAATAACTGTGTTTAATTGCACATTTTCAATCCAAGATCAGATCACTAAAAAACAATAAATTGGGTAGTTGAGATACACCCTAAATCCAATATTGCATAGATCGAGGTATCTAACTAAATTGGAGGTGTAACAGTGATGCAATCTGGATATGGGATATTAAAGACTTCAAATCCAATAGTGGATATGTCTTTTATATTAAAGGTGTAGTTCTATGTTCTTAAAATAACTCAAAGTTAGAAACTTTGAATAAATCAAATAGGGAAGTCAATAGATTTCACCTAGAGGACAATTCAAAGTAAGTATACACCTGTGTCACTAAAGAAAATGATATTGCTAACAATAAGCAATTTTAGGGCACAAAGTATACAGTTGCTCTCACCCAGAGAAATCTCTGCAGAGTGTAATATTTCTAAACGCAACCTTGTGGCCACATATAAAATTGAAGGTTGTACTAGAGAGCAATTGTACAGTTCATCGAGGGGAATGGGGTTTAAAGCCGAAAGCTAACGAGTCACCTTAATGGAAACCCAACCTAGTTGACTGGAGATCCCAAGATCTAGGTTCAAAGGGACAACAGAAATTCTGAGTGACTCACCAGAAGCACTAGGAAGATATAAATCTTCTACCCATTTCTATGATGAGACAGTGCTACCTACAGCGATGATCAGGATAAGCTACGCTTTTAATGACTCTTATACCTTGAAAATTCAAGTGGGGTTTAGTAGGATACTCTTAATAAGAAGTCACCTATATGAGTGTGAAGTGGGGCCGCTTCTATGAGAACTATAAAGGCTAAGTTTTCTAGAGCACTCATTGAATACCAGGACTTATTCAGGGCCAAAATGAACACAACAATGAGAACCAACTTTGTGAGGAAAGCTACTGTATGTTTATTGTCTTGGTTTACACAAACGGCTGAACAGTTCAAGACATCGCGTTCACTGGTTAGCCAGTAAATCCGATAGCAATACACTAGGGAAGGTTCAAAGCCAAAAGCCACCTATCCTGATGCAGTAACTTTTCGACTATACTCTCTCTAGTGTCTGCATGATCATCTTTTGCATTTTACGCGAATTTCCATTCATGTGGGGGATTGTTGGAAACGGGGGCATTAAAAACATAAACTTTGGATGAGATTTGAAATAAATTCCGTTAATAATTTTTTACGGATCTCTAGACAAGCGCGTTTCTCTCCGTAAGGAGATGAATGTGGTATATTTATTTTCTGAAATTCGTTTCCGGATGAATGAGAAATTAGCTCCAAAGTGTGGTATTTTGATAAGCCTAAATGGGTATGCAAATTGTGGGAAGTGTTTGTCCCACATGGAAAAAATGTTGAAACAAATTGAAATTTAAATAAGCTGAGTTTATGATTTGGGCTTGGGCTTGGGCCTAATTGTAAAGTCCAGATTATTCTTTTTTGAAATTTTGGATTGGGCCTAATTTTGGACTGGGCTTATTTAAATGGGTTTCACAAATGAGTGGGTTTTTTGGATGGTTGGCTTTTTGAATTAAAAAAAACTACTTTTTAGTTTTTCTAAAAGGTTACACCTTTTAAATTAAAAAACCATATTTTAGTTTTTCTAAAGGGTTACACCTTTTAAATTAAAAAACCACTTTTTAGTTTTTTTTTCAAAGGGTTACACCTTTTTCCGAACCATCATAACCCATGGTTGTACCCACTCGAAAAGACACCATGTGAACCATTACAACCTATTGAAATGGATGTGTCTATTGGTGAACAGACACCATGTGAACCATTGCAACCTATTAGAATGGATGTGTCTATTGGTGAACAGACACCATGTGAACCATTGCAACCTATTGCAATGGTTGTGTCCAATAATGAAGAGATACACCCAATCCGAAAAGGTATATCTGTTTCTATAAATATCCCCTTTGGATCATTTGCAATTAATTCATTTTCATTTTCTTCTATCTCCCTCTCTAGACTGGAACCCAACCCAAGTGGGTTCAAACCATAGGTTAAGTGGTTCGAGCCACTTCGACCCTAATCCAATTTCATCGAGCCATATTAAGATTGGTCCGAACCATTTGGTTCAGATTACACCCAAATCAACATTTATATAGTATATAGATGCATTTTTGAGTAAGAAAGAGTATTACACGGAGGAGGTTCGCCGTATTCACGAGTTTGTAGTGCTGCTACTGGTGGATGTAGACCGTTGTATCCTGGAAGATAGACGCCACTGAGTCCGTTAGCACCATGGGGGGACGAATCTGTCTTAAGTGCATAATATCTAATACTAGCCTCGGTCCAAGTTCATTCCTTACATATTATTATTATTATTTTATTACTTTATTTTGCATATTTAATTAAATATAGAGTTGCATATTTAATTAATAATTTATTAACATATTGTTAATTATCTCATGACATATTATTATAAGAGTTGTTATATCTTAAAAGTGACATTAAACATATATTTTTCTAACAGTTTTGTCAATACAAGCTTCACTTATCAAAAGTGATTAGACATGCATGATAAAGAGAGCAGACGTAGACCATCCAATTCATTGTTATTGGGTGCACCCCGAAAACCAACAAAACATTAATATCCAATGAAAGACAAAATTGAATAAAATTATCACACAAAAACACAAGATGATACTAGCTTTGTAAAGGCATCATCAAAGATCAAAAGAGACAAAAATTTTAAGTTAGACCCATTTGTAATGCTTTGACTATTATTGATCTTTGTTGTAATCTGATAGTACATCACTAATCCATGATCAATACTTTGTATACAAAGTAGAGAGAAAACAACAAGATTAGCTCAGCTTTTTTGGGCTTTGTATACGGTGGTGCATGCAACTCATGACTTGAATCATAATAGTTTTTGTATCATTTGTTACTGGACATATAAATAAAAAATTGAATAAAGTTGAGAGAAAACAACAAGATTAACTCAGCTTTTTTGGGCTTTGTATACGGTGCATGCAACTCATAACTTGAATCATAACAGTTTTGTGTCATTTGTCATTGGACATATAAATAAAAAATTGAATAAAGTTTACGTATTTTAAACACATTACTTACATGTACAATGATAATTAATCCAGAATGATGTAATAATTTTTCATCTATTTAGTTTATCTTTCAAAGTTTATGTTTAATTTTTTTCCCTCGTTTATGATTCTCTCCCAATGGAAAAAAGATTTTAAGAGGGTCTAAAGAAAGGTAATATTAGGAAAAAAAAAAAAAAAAAAAAAAAAAAAAAAAACGAAAAAGAAAAAAAAAAAAGAGGAGATTAAAATAGTGTGGTAGAGTTGGTAAGGATATATATAGTAACATGACTGATATGACTTTGTATAGAACCTAAGTTTATTTTTTAAAATTGCTCTGCAATCAAATAGAGCTAATAATAATGGAAATGAACTTGACAAATAAAATAAATATATGCCACTTCTTTGCAGCAATATATATATCCAGAGATTAGGCAGCAAATGGTAGAACATTACATGCTATATACCGAAAACAACTAGAATTGCATTATTATCCGTAGCTGCTTGCACCAGTCATTATTCATAAGCACAGCTACCATAACCTGCAAATTGGTACCACAAAAAAAAAAAAAAAAAAAAAAAAATGTTCTTTTAGGACAAACACAATATAATGCTATGCATTAAACTGTGAACTTTTTTAAAAATTTCGACCAATTTTGTGTGTAGCATTTGAAATGTGACTTACTTGGATCAGTCACGACGGTAAGAGCAGAATTCTTGAAATCGCAGTTCCAATGGTTCCTTCCCCTGCATTGGTAGTAGAGGTTCATGGCTATGGAAGCATGGTTGATGAGATTATCCGGCGAGTAACACGGGCAACCCTTTTGCAGGATCCTGCAATCCACTTGGGAGCATGCATAGTTGATGTTTGCTACTAGAGTTGCTGAGTCTGATGAAGGCTTGGCCACACACCAAGTTTTCTGTAACCCCCCAATTGGAAAATTTACACAAAAATTTAATTACTTAGTCAGGACAAGTTAGGTGAAGGAGTACCGAGATAATGTGAGGAACTAGAAAATTAATTACCTGTCCATGCACCAAATTCAAAGTCCCAACTGCATAAAAATTAATAGGGTTCAAAATTAGAATTTTTAAGTCTCAGATTGCAAAGATGTGGGCTAAAAAAATTAAGTAGAATTGAAGACATCAATATAGTAGTATGAGAGTGAGCTTAATAATTTGCAGTATAATTACTAGAATGTTTGTTCCAATCACTTCATTATTGATGCAAATCTATCATTTGCAAAAGCCATAGAAATCCAGATTTATGGACGGATAATTCAATACTGGTGACTATAAAGTTTGAGGAACATAACAATATCTATATATATATATATATATATATATATATGCAACTTAATTGAGTGGACCATGAGAGTTCGCTTAAATAACATTTGTGATTTGCTAGTGATTGCATGTATTCGAGAGTTCAAAGTAGCCCACGGATAGACTATGGATTGATTCATCATTCCCAAAAAAAAAAAAAAAAAAATTTGCAGGTTGAAGGAAGCCTAGTTGAGATCTTCTCCACCCTCACCCTCTCTCTCTCTCTCTCTCTCTATATATATATATATATATATAATGATTTGTGACTATTAGACATGGTGATAGTCTCAATTTCAGAAAACCCAGTTCAGATCTGAAGAGCAAAAGTGTGTTGCAAATACCCAAAGTGGTGATTTGAAGTAAAATGGCATAATTGCCACAATCAACAGTTGCAATTAAGGTAACACTGCCCAAACTAGTGACTCAAAATGTAATTAAGCAAACAGTAACCACATGAAAATCGACAAACACTATAAGGTAAATCTAAGAAATTAGTGGAATGTAGCAAGTGTAAAATGAATGAGCTTTTGAAGGTACTGACAGAGAACTGAAAGACTGGTAGAAAAACCTGAAATGAAGGACAGTAGGAAGACGAAGAGAGAGAAAGTTGCTGCTTTAGGCATTGTGATGTAACTCTCTACTTTTGCTCTGAACAAGTAGTAAAATGGTGGTAGGCTTTTAGATTTTTAAAGTAAGAGAGGAGGAAAAGGCCGCTAAAAGGGCCAACGGCTATATTCATTGCTTATCTGTTATGGGGATCTTTTGGGGAGTTAATGGACAAAACAGGGGAGCTGAGAGGAGAGACATATGATGTCACTTCACTCAATCATTGTTTATTTATTTATTTATTGGGATAAGGTAAAGTACATAATCACTGTTTTTTATTCATTTTCTCCCATCTTTATTTGCGTATTCATTCATTTCCAAAATCAATGCAATTATTTGGTGGCCAATTGATCATTGGTTGTATATTGATGCCCAATTTAGGTACTTTAGGAAGTACATATGTGGACATGGGTAAAATCGGTGACCACGGATTTTTTTTTAAGAGGGGTGCTTATGAAGAGTAAAAAAAATTAAAGATAATTTTTTAAAATAAAAGAAATAAATATAAAATTTTTAATTTTTGTAACTTGTTCGACTTAGATTTTTTTATCTTTTAGTTATGTCCGCACTTCCTAGATTATTATGGATGTGAGACGGAAAGAAATAAGAAAACCGATTTATTTTATTTTCTTTTGAATCTAAAACGCAAGAGTATATATAGTGGGTATTTTAAAAAATTGAGTGGGAATATCAAAGTATGCGAGAGAGAATTATGAATGTGGGGGGCGATAAAGAGTTAAAAAGAGATGATTATCTTATAGATCCAAAAAATTAGTGAGGGCAAGAATGTGAAGTGTGGTATTTTTATCAATTAAGAGGGGGCAATTTTAAGAGTTATACAAATTGAGAGAGGTCATTTTCAAAAATTTAACAAAAAGTATAGATAATAATGCAAATAAAAAAAAAATCCCCCACTAGTCTAGGTCGGTACCTAAGTACGACAAATCTTAAAAAAAATAAGATATGAGTACTGAATATGGTAATAAAAAATAAATAAATTTTATTTATAAAAATATTAATTTTTGTCAATTTTTTAAAAAATGTTACTAAACTAAATGCAATCATTAATATAATATACAAGTTCGTTTCACAATACATAAAATAAGCATCCCTAGTCATTACTTAATAAATTTTAAATTTTTTCTTAACAATTATACGTTGTTATTATTGTTGAAAAAGTTGCATTTTAATGCTCAAACTTGTTAAAAATGTATTATAAAGTGTTAGTGTCAGATACGCAGTCAAAATAACTAAGAAATATTTGAGAAGTATCATATACGTGTTAGAAATTAAAAAATACATTTTAAAATTATGGATATGTTTAAGAAGTATCGGACACGAATTCGTAAAGTATCGGTGTCTGACACGTATCTAATACGGGTGCGTTGCTCTTTTAGAAATATCCGTACTTCTTAGCCAGTAACAAATAAAAAATGATATAATCATGGACTTTATTTTATCAATTACATAGTCAATTTAACGTCGAAATTAGTGATTAGGATAAGTACTTAGAAAAGAAATTTTATTATTTTTAAAAGTTGACAAAAATCCGACCTATATTTATTAGCGTAACTACAAAACCTTACTTCTAACAAATTCATAATCTAATACAAATTATACAATACGTAATGCTCTTTTGATGCCTCAAACGAGCATTCTAGTGTCCATTAAAGAATTATTGGGTGGGAAATATATATATATATATTTGGGTGTCATATTCAAATTTGTACTTAATAATACAGCCGTGAATTGATCTAATTTGTCTCCTCACCGACAAAAGGTCACCCCATCATGAAATAAATGATGAGAAATTGAGAACCACATCTATTTTTAATTGGTTTATTTGGATTTTTCTTTGAAGAGGCACATCTATTTTTAATTGGTTTATTTGGATTTTTCTTTGAAGTGGCAGTCATCTGTTTGATTGCTTTTACCGATAACCTATTTCAATAATTGTTTCGCAAGCAAAAAAAATAAAAATAAACTACTTCCGTAGCAGTTTTGTTAGGGAAGACTTGCTAGAAGCACTATTGAAATTAGAATTTTTTTTTCTCTCTCCTTTTCCTATACAAATTCCGGATCAATTTGTTTTAAAAAATTAATGCTATACACAACAAATAAAACTTAAAACAATTTTCTTATTTTCCAATTTTAGGGGTCAAGATAGTAAGACACTGAGATTCAAATAAAATCAGGTGAAATCTCAGTTTCAGAATGATAGAAAGAAAACTAGATGAAACTCCTACTGCTATAGATTTGCCATAAACCTAAACTCATACTTTAATATACATTTTACCTTTTTTATCTCAATAATCTACATCTAACTTTCATCCAAATCAATTTGTGAACAAATCTACCCATTTTTCACCATACACACCTAACCAGAGAAGTCAACTTTAATGGATAAGTTCGTATGTTTGTTTTATAAAAGCTACATATACAGCACAAAATCTAAATATATATATATATATATGTATACTGCAAAAATTTAAAACATACTATAGTTCTTTTGAACAATTCTTTGAATATCCCTAAACAGAAATATTTCCCGTCTTTTTTCATGTATGATCATCAAGAAAATTCTGGTAGAGGTAAGAAGCGAATCCCCAGATAGCCAAAAACATAGCCACTACCTTCACCCCATCCATATTTTCATGGTAAAACATGGCAGCAAAGACAGGAACAAGTGGCAGTGGCAGTATACTAATAACATTAGAGAAGAGGGAAGACACCATAAAAATCAGCCCCACAACACCAACATAGCTAACTTGCCAAGCCAGAGCTGCCCCTACCAGAGTCATAACATAACACACACTCCCTCTTCCGAAACCTTCCATTTCTTCCCTCAGCCCCCTCCATTCCCCACTGCCAAACAACCCGACGACACAGATACAAGAAGCGACGAGGGAAGTATAAATCTGCATGCTCAAGACCACTGCAAATGTTTCCTTTTTCAGAATTTTTTCGAAGGCGAATTGCATGAGAGAGAGCAGTAGGGAGTAAGCTGCTGATGCTCCCAGAGTGCATAAAAAGCCGACTGTGCTTTTCCCTTTGATCCTCTCTCTAGTATTGGAGTCCGTTGGATCGGAATGGACTGCAACGAGGCACGATGATAAGGTTACAAGGATTACAGAGTTGAGAATTAACATGGTAAACTTCTGGGAATTAATGAAGAAGGAAAATATCGCGTTAAAAGCCAACTGTGCGGCACAAATCAAAGAGTAGGTAGAGAGAGGAAGGTAGAGGAGTCCAATTGAGTACAACATGTTATCCCCAGCAAGAAGAGCACCAAGAAACAAGTAAACCATGGAGAGGGTGCGAAAGGAAGGTGACGCGGGGATGGTGGGGGTAGGGGGATGATTTTTGTGGAAGGAAAAGAAGCAGAGAGGGAGGAAGAGAACTGGAAAGGCGGCGCTCTGGATGAGCGTCGCCATCCATATACTTTTTCCTCCTCCGTCATAGTAGAGTCTACTGAGTATAACCGCACCAGATTGGCCTATAAGAAGGAAGGCAATGTTGAGCACCACCAAGAGCCACCGTTGCCAACGTTTGAGTCCCACAAGTGGCGGTTGATCAGTGACGGGAGGCCCGATGGTTGAGTTTGGTTCTTGGACCTCTGTAAATGCAGAACACATCGAACAAAAGATAACCCTTCCACACAAACTAAACTTTTCAGGCATAAGATATATTTATATATCTATATACTTGAACTGCATAATTATATACACATGAGAGAGAGATCTCCATGGCAAAAATGATTCGATCATGATGCCAGTTTCAACATTAATGGCCGCTATATTGTTCTTAACGAAAACTGTGAGTCTATATGGACTCTATTGTTCCACATCATTTCCTTTTGGCCGCCAAGAATTGATTCCTTTTAGACGGTCTTGATCATTTTGATCAATGCAAACGAGATATCCATTGGTAATGCCCTGTACTGAGTCACTTAACCAGAGTATTAACACCATAACTTTCATACATCCCAAAAACATAGTCTTGCTAATTAGTCCTAGAGTAACTGTGGAGAGAAACTGTTCTACATTCACTATGACCAAATACTGGTAGGTCTGGACTCGAGTCAACTTACAGCAATCATGAGTGGAACATCCTACTTATGATATTTACAGAAAAAAAAATTTAAATAAAAAATCCTCCCAATGGTCCATCCTAACCTTTAATGATGCTGTAACTGCTGTTCTGAATCATCACTAACACAGGATCTCCCAAGGGTTTTGGTTTCACACACAAAATTACTAAAATACACAAACACATGGGCACACTACTACAAATTCACAATGAGCCAATTCCACACACACACACACACACACAAACAAAAGAACTAATCACTTGTGACTTGTGGGGTTCCCCGTACCAATTTAAGAAGCCCAGGACCAACCAATATACAACCGATGTGAGACTTACAACGTATCTAAGCAACGAGCACATCTATCATCGAAGTATGATATCTTAAATCAGTGTTCCTTGGCTGTAAAAAAGGCTAATTTGATAGATATAACTAAAATCAGAGGGGAAAAGGCTACCGTTGAATTTCAAGCTGTGTCTGTAACAGGTATTGGGAGGAAAATCCTCACATATTAGATATTTCCATTCTTCAAATTTCAGAGATACAGTGAAAAGACTATGAATATACAACAGAAGAAAACAGAAAGGAAAAGAGAAGAAAATGACGGTCATCACTCTTTCTGTAAAGGAGGATATGCAGGCTAAATTTCAACCAAGCTGGTGACTCCTAATAATCCTGCATTTTCGGACAATAAAGAATCATTAACAATGGTATAAGCAACAAATTTAGTTCAATCAATGCAAAGAAATGTAAACAGTTGCCAAAGACTACTTGCCTTCCCAACCGTGAGAGCTCAGGCTCTGCAAGTAGCATATCTTGTAGTCGTCCCATAGTCATTTCCTTTTCACCAGAACTACAAAGGCAGAAAGAGGAGGTTTCCATGTCAGTCACCAGAACTACATGGGCAGAAAGCAGAGGCTTCTATGTCAAGTCATTCTCTAAAAGGAGGACTGTCTTTTTTAAAAACACATGACTATTAATAGGCAGATCCTACATTTGGCTAGGAGATGAAGGGAAAAGAAAAAAACTGGAAATTTATAATACAGCCAAATATAAAATAATCTGGAGTACCATTTTTTCTTTTTGAAAGATGAAAAGCATGTGTGTGTGTGTGTGTGAGGGAGACAGAGACAGAGACACAGAGAATGTGTGCAGACTTTCTGCATAAAATAATCTGGAGTACCATTTTTTCTTTTTAAAGATGAAAAGCATGTGTGTGTGTGTGTGTGAGAGAGACACAGAGACAGAGAGACAGAGACAGAGACAGAGAGAATGTGTGCAGACTTTCTGCATTCATGTGCATTGATTTACCAGGCAAAGAAACCATATCATTCAGAAACGACAATGTAAGATCAAGAGCATCCATGATAATTCCATGTATTAATTATTAAAAACAGTGCATTTCATGTATTAATTATTAAAAACTGTGCATCTCATGATCTCATCCCTACTCTACATGCTTATTCAAAATCTGATTCCACTGTATTCTATACTTGGAACTGTATCTAACTTCATGAATCCATCTAAAGTGACCTGACACAAGATATCCTAGGGTACTACACATTTCCCTGTTAATATGGCAACCACAAAGTGAAAAGACGATTATTACATGTACTAACACTAACTATTGTTAGAACATCACCACGGTCAGCATGTTTACTAAATGTAAGAGAACTTTATATCCTTTGTCCATTGTGAGAATCAGCATTGCTTCTTACAATAAGCTCCTGTAAACTCGCTGTTATTGGTAAAAATAACAATTGTGAGAAGCCAGTAGGGGTGCTAAAACTCACCAATTAATATATCTGATTAGGGAATAAGGTCCTAATCTACATATCAGATTAGGGAACGAGGAGATCCACAACTATATTATTCCTTAGAAAAATTTTGTTTTTTTTTCTCAGCATGATTAAGTTCATACCAAAACAGGGAAATTGCTTGGCATGAGTTACAACAGAAACTAGTAGGATGCTCAGACTCACTAATTGGTAAATCCGACTACAAAGATTTCCTTCATGAGACAAACCCTGCAAGACTTTAACTACAAAATATGCTAAAAGTACTAAACACTTCCGTGTACATTATCCAGCCTAAGTGTCTCAAACTTCCTTTGTTGTGGGTGCTTTCTTTATGAGGATCTTAATGAATAACAACTTAATAAACATTCCTTCTTAACGTGAAAAAGAAAAATTCTAACACCAATCCTGTCTTTAGGGTTCTTTAGTTCAGTTACTTGTGTTCAGAAATTTTAGTTCTTCCCCAAAATCTTTGGTATTTGTAACAATTGTCCCATCAGATAACGAATGAAGTCTTTTAATGAACTCAAAATTTTACAAATATTCTTACAATAGCAAAATTCACACCCAGTACTTCTGTGCATCCCACCCAGGGTTGAGAATGTTCTCCTCTTTCTCAGTTTCCCCCTTCACTGTTTACTTCCCCCTCAGCCCTCTGGCCCAGAACATATGTAAGCCAGGGCAAGAATATTTTCAACAAAGTCTCCCCTAATAAAGATATATCACTATCACGTAGTCTTGGAAGGAAAAAAGAGAGAAGGAAATTAAATATACACACCTATAAATGAAATCCAGCGAAAGCAGCCTGTTGTGGATAATGTAATCACTACCAATGTAAGTAACAATTAAGTTACCAGCATCTGGGTGGGGCCAGCTCCTTGAAGTAGGAAATCGCAGTACAAATGTCCCAGGATCTTGAAGGACCCCGGGACCTTGAAGTGAAGACTCTGCTTCTTCCTTTGTAATGAATCCTTCTATCCACTTTGGTGATTCAGAATCCCACATTGCATTTATCCAATCTCTTGATAATGTAAAAGCTACTGGATATAGCCAACACCACATCTTCTCAAAGTTTTCTCGGGCCAGTAATCCCTTGCATCCTGCAATTCTCCTTAGAAGTTTGAAGTCCTGAAAAAATAAAAAATAAATCACCATCATCATCATCACAAATAATTTTACTGAACATGCTTTATAAATTAAAATTTGAACACAAAGTAAAAATATACTTGCAGAAGTTATCTATAATCTCTTGCAATGTCTAGGCCACCTCCCAGGGTTTTATCCCAGTAATTACCCAACGCATGTGGGAAAGGAGAGCGCATTCTCCAGGAGTATTAGCCAGATGCTCAATAATACCTCCTATTTAGTTGGGAAAAAAATTCAAAAGAAGAGTCATAATGCCAAGGTGAACAAGGAAGTTTTCCAAATGGACCTATAAATCTTACTGTTCCGGCGTTCTTATAAATTTTTGTTTCTAATTAATTTTATTCACAATGCACCTTCTATCCAGAAATATAAATGAATCTCTTCAACCACCCACTCTTGTCGATTTGCCATACAAATTATCAACCATCAGATAATAGACATTGGAGATGGTAATGATCTTTCAATTATAAGGCACCAATTACAAAGGATTTATGGTTCATTGTTCATAATTATGCTTCTTGTTGCGGTAACTTTCTTCATGAAATCTGCACTTTCTACAAGCTTTACTCAGGTAGGCTAAGGTCAAAAGAGCTAGAAATAGGTTGCACATAAACAGACTTTTTTAGGAATAGGACTTACGTTGGCAAATTTCATACAAAACTAGAGTCTGTATGTTTTATTTTAGCTTTTGTATTGGGCTCAAAAGCTAGTTAGGATGATTAGTTGAGTTACCCTGGCTAAGGGCCAAAAAGGAATTAAAAGAGCAAGGGAACAAAGGTAAGCTCAACTCTCAAATTATGCACTCACCAAAATTAGGGTTATATGCATTCATCTATAGCAGTAAACATGTTAGGTTTTTCATTTGCATGTTTTGATATATAGAAATACGTTGTGGATTGCATAAAACTATTTTAGAAAGTCAACCTAATTGAACTATGATAGGGGATTTCAATCAATCGAACGATGAAAAGGATGAACTAAAACCTACTGGACTAGGTTTGATCAATCAAACCCGATTAGGTCCTGATCAGTCAAAATATGCGGGAAAACAGTTTCCAAAATCTCTCTCAACCCTAAGCCTTCCCTGCTTCTATATTTTAAATGAACACGCTAAGTTTTCTGAAAACATAGGCAAACAAAAAAAAGAGCACATATAAGCATCATAGATTTTTTGAGTGCAATCTAGCAAGTGAATTGCTTGGGTTCTCTTTAATTTTCATTTATCATCATACACTTGGACGGTGAATGATATTGTGTGCTTTTTTCTTTTTTTTTTTTGGTAAGTAAAATTTTATAAAGAAAGCGCTCAAAAGGGAAGCGAAACCCAAAGACAAACAAAAGGCCAAGAAGCACCTCAAGCCTTCATAGAGGCCAAAAAAGGGTGGAAATAATAAAAAACTTAAGCATAGAAGAAGGCTTCTCCTTTCCATCAAAATACCGCTGATTTCTCTCGAGCCAAATACACCATCAAATACAAAGAGGTGCAGCCCTCCAAGCATCCTGAATGAGAGCCCCCACTGAGAATCCTCTCCAAGCCTCAATCAACCCTCTAGAGGAGTGAGGCATGACCCAAGGGATCCCAAACAAACCAAGCATTAAATCCCAACAGTCCCTAGCCATGCTGCAATGTAACAGAAGGTGATCCACAGTCTCCTCGAGGAGATTGGTTGTGTGCTTTTCAACCAATGTCAACGAGCTCTAAAGGATTTCAACACCACAACCGATTTTCACTCAACCAACGTAGATTAGACATTACTAGTTATGGAAATCAAAGTGCTAAAGGAGGAGTGGATTTGTTGAATGGCAGCAGTGAAGTTCAAGAAGAGCATTTGAGGGAATTCTTGGACTATGTCCCAATATTTTTTTTTTTTTTTTTTTTTTTTTTTTTTTTTTTTTTTTTTTTTCACGTTAAAATCATATGTGAGTTTTCTGCATTCCTTTGCTTTATATTCTACAACATGATGATTTTTACATGCTTTACTAGTTACAGAAATCAAAGTGCTAAAGGAGGAGTGGATTTGTTGAATGGCAGCAGTGAAGTTCAAGAAGAGTATTTGAGGGAATTCTTGGACTATGTCCCATGTTTTATTTTTTTTTTTCGCACATTAAAATCATATGTGAAAGTTCTCTGTATTCCTTTGCTTTATATTCTACAACATGATGATTTTTACATGCTTTATTATTGTTGAAATCCAAAATTTAGTTAAAGTTTGTTTAAATTTTGAATTTCTGTCAAAGTTTATTAATTAGTTGTGTAACCTATTCACCCACTCCCACCATGCAACTTCCAAAAGATTTGGTCCACATCTGTTAAATTAATTCCACATACTTGACCTTTACAAAGAGTCCCAAGCAGTAGTCATCTACGTATGTGAGTATGTGCATGCATGTATGGGCATGCACTTGCGTGTATGAGAGAGAGAGAGAGAGAGAGAGAGACCTGTTGTGTTAAAAATCTGGTACTGCAGCAGGCAATCTTCATGAAACTGTCCATAATCTCAGAAGCCACATTATCCCAAAGAACATGATGGTTGTTCGGTGAGATCAAATTCCAGACTTTTGTTCCTTCCTCTATCAATCTCTTTGCCATTGTTATTTGGTGCCTAAAAAAAAAAAAAAAAAAGAGAGTAAATTCTCCTTAGAAATAGGATCACAAAATATATGACATTCATGGGACATATCCCATGCATTTACTAGCGCTGTAACATAAAAAAATTACAGTATAGGGCATTGAAGCACCCACATCAACAATCCAATTAGAACTTATGAGTTAAAAGGGCATTACACCAAACTCAACCTGAATAAGCACACTTATTTTCGTTTCTTTTTCAACAGTTTAAAAAAGAAAATGTAAGGAAGAATACCCAAAGCCTAAAAGAGTACATTATTTTCTTCAAATCAATTTGGTACTCACTATAGCTCCTGCTAGTGAGAAATATACTCATAGGTCCAACCCAGGATAGGATTCAGTAATCACTATTAGTTTCACTTACCAATCTGTTATTAGAAACCACGACAGACTATCATGCCACATGGTTTCTACTATATGCCAACTAAAACTCAAAGAAAATAAATAAATAAAAAAAATAATGCATTCACTAATATTGATGATATTTAGAAAATGGAAAAGCCTTGTATATTACCTGTGATGGGAACATCCAGAAAATAGGGAAACCTGCTGTGCAAAGTCTGCAAGTTCTTGTTCAGAAGCTGATGTTGCAAACTCCTTGAGTAGAAAAGACCTCTCAGTTAAGCCTCCCAGGCAGTATTTGAAAACGGTCAAATCTGACACTGGGTTTCCATTAGCTGACATACACTTAAAAACGGAATTTCTTGCTTCAATACTCTCAGAATCAGATGGGGAGTTGTCTGTTTCTTCATCATTTTCTAGTCTCACCTCCAAACTTGTCCCATATGCATTATCGTCCTAATTAAAAACATTGATACACTGAGACCAATATGTCAAAATATAATAATAATACCAAAAGATTTCTACTGTAATAATCAAAGAGAACATTCTAAAGTAATCATATTAGGGATTTTTGCAAAACAAAAGGCATGAATAGCTTAAATGAATGAGTAGGGCATTACATGGATAAGTTGTAAGCAGTCTCCACTTGTATTTAGGGTTTACGAAGCCTATGAACTAGTCTCATTAGTGTAAAACAGGAGAGCCCAAAAATGAATAACCATCTGACAAATTTGAAAGAGCTTTGCACTCTTTTACCCTCCCTTTTCTTCTTTCCATCACCACCATCTCTTTTTTTTTTTTGCTCCCACCCTCTTCTATTCTCTATATTATTACTTCCAATATATGTCCTCCCTCTCTCTCTTCATGGAATTCATTGTCCTTTCTCAGATCTTTCTTACATTGCTTCTCTTTTCATATCTATCTCTCAATTTCTCTCGTCTTCTGACTTCTTTTCCTTTCATCAATTTTCATATTTAAAAGCCTTAGTGGAAGTTACTACATCAGTTTAAATACCCTGGTAGAGGCTACATCAACAATTGAGGGAGAAATAATATCATTTTATAAACCATGTCTTATTCTTATCTTATCTGTACTATTATGACGCCCCACATTGCCAGGGGAGGAGAAGTGTTGAGGCTTAACCATGTAGACACGTTTTGAGCAAAACCGTGAGCATCGAGAGGAGTGTGTGCAAAGCAGACAATATCCACATGGTGCAGAGCGGGTCGTGGCAACTATCTAGTTTTCCTGGACAGCAACAGAGCTGGTTCATGACATTAGGGGTGGCAACAAACCAAATTTTCAGCACAACTACCTTAACATGTACATATTTACCATTACAAATCCACTTCACAATGGATAACAGATGGCCTGACCCCACCGCAAAAGTGCAAGCAGATTGCTGAACAAAGTAAGATTTGTGTCTATCCATAGGTATGCTACGTTAATAAACCACTCACATACAAGACCAAACAGGTGAACTGCCCCAAAAACCTAAACCTCAAAAACATCAAGAAAAAGTTAAAATAACAAGAATAAATTGAAACATAACTGTTAGCCGAGATATGAAAGGCTAGAATCATGGATGTAACTTACAATATTAGCCTAGATATGAGAGGCTAGAATCATGGGATTTGACTTTATTTGCGCATATGTCTTGGTACAGAATACGCAAAGATTATATTCAGTTTCCTTTCCTGTAACAGTAACATGTGCTCTTTACATATTATTATTCTCATTCAACCCTTTACATATTTCTCTTGTATTCCTTCTATCTTGTATTTCTTCTATAACAAAACAATAGTAGGGAGGGAAAGGGAAAAGAAAAAAAAAAAAGAAAGAATTTTTTTATTTTTTTGGGTCCTGGCAAATATGTCACACCCCCACTTTGACCCTATGGGGACTTGAATCACCTCCACTTTGGGAGGTAGAGATACTATTGAACTACAACCCTTGGTGGTAAAAAAATTAAAATATCGAATAACGACAGCAAGAAAATCACGTCGAGAACCTAGCAAAAACAAGTAGCTTTGGGGCTTCATCTAACCAGAAAAGGAAACCTTAAGCAGCACAATGAAGAAAACTTCTGGATCACCAACATTGGAGTTCTTCAAAGGAAGTGTATCGGATTCTGGTACATGAAATCGGGATAAAAAAACACAAAGTTACCATATTCGTTATCAAATTAGGCCAAAATTCATCCGATTTCAAGATATATCAAGACGCTTAATTCATTTATACATAACAGACAAATGTGCAAGCATGCCACATAGGTATAATTCAAAAGGAAGATATCACCTAAAAATTTTCCAGTACACACAGTTTCAATGCTACACAAGTACTTTATGAATGAAAATGATACAAAACAGCATAATAGATACCTCATTAGTAGTCCATACACGAGAGTTGCATTCCTCATCAGCTCGCTCCAAGGTAATATCGGGCTTAATGGATGCAAATAAATTTTCTTGACTTAATTTGACCCGCTTAGATGACAGGCTTGGTTTTGCTTCATGTATAATATTTTGCAGAAGTTCCGTAGATCCATCATCCAACCCAGAAGATTGAGATCCATTGACCAAATGACTCATGGAAATTGATTTGTTACACATTACAGTAGATATCCGCGTATTACGATTCCGCGAAATACAACGAATCGGAGGTGAGAATGCCTCAAGAAAAGGATATCTTTCCATTTTTGGAATGTCAAACCTAATCTGGAACAGTCTGTTATCACACTTTGATGAAAGCTGAAATGGGGAAATAAAATTAAGTCATTTGTCAGTTCTGTTAGAAATTAAATAATGATATCGAATGCTAAAACTTAATAGGACTATTTCTGAGTATTATATCACCAAATACGACCTTTCCAACTTTTGGCACGATAACCAGATGCTACATGAGGGGGAAGCATATCAATTGAATTCTAAACAATCATCCATTTAGAGAGTGCCTCATGTTGAGCTGTTGAAATGACACGTGAGCCTTTATGGTAATGAAATAATGTCATTTGACTGTGTGAAGTACCTTGTAGCATGTAGACTGAGACAGGGTGACATATAGAGAAGTGGGTCAAATACCCACCAGAAGGTTATATGAGACATAGTCACATAACTAAACCTATAAACAGATCGGATTTGGACCGGATCAGGCTTGATCCAATCCGAATCTGATAAGGTTATTTTTTTATCCAATCTGATATGATAATTATTTGTTAATAGTCAGATATCTGATCTAATAACCCAATCCGTTAAAGGTGTAATTTTTTGTTTAAAAAAATTTAATGTCAAAAGCGATAGCAAAACAATGATTAGAAAAAAGAGATAAAAGCCAAAGAAGACAAATACTTATCAAAAAAAAAAAGTCAAAGAAGACGAATAAAAAATGAACAAAAAAGAGAAGAAAATTAGGTATTTGACCTTTGTTAAAGGAAAAAAAAAAAATAGAGTAAGAAAGAATAGAGGGAGGGAAGAAGAAAAAGAATGAAAAAAATAATGCTAAAAACATTTTGATACTATGTAAATTGTATATATTATAGAATTAGATAATATATTTATAACATATTATATGATATTAAATAAATATATCCTAGTGGGAATAATACGCATGTACAAAAGCCAGTTACTTGTGCACCTTTTCCCTAACATAAATGGAAGTATCCTGTATCTGCTCATTAATGCAAGTAAATGATGTTCCGCAAGCTATTGATTCATAATGATATTAGCACCTGAGATATCTTGAGCTTAAAGGAAGCACGGCCATTGATTAGTTTGCTTGGTCTATCAAAACAAGCAAATTCGATTCCATCATAACTTGTTAGAAGGGGAGCTTCTGCGTCACAAGGCTTTTCTACAGGTGCCCCATTGTCATCGTACAAAAGGGAAGCACCAACCTAAACATGACAAATAATGTGAGCTGTATATATATATATGTAAACATCACTAATCTGTATATATATATGTGAGCTGGAGACACAAACCTCCATTTCCTTGTTTACAGGCTGGCCAAACGCATCAAATAAAACAACATCCAAAGAAAAATTCCTGCGGCAAGATGCCTGTGTCCCCACCAAAAATAAAGGGACGCATTAGAAAAAGTCTCATACCAGTACCATTTAGCTTGAGCAACAACTACAACTTGTAAAACATTCTGTTTGCTGGCATCTAATATATTCTACCCATAGGCAATAAGATTAGTGTTAGGTTAAAAAGACTTAGGTTGGCATATTTTGTGAATCAAAATTAGAGTATGTATTTTTGTTTTTATTGTTGGCTTAGCTCAATTTTTAGAAGTCAGTGTCACGTTACTTACTTGTTGGTCATGGTCAAAGATGGAAATCAAGCAAATCAAACGTAATCTTCAACACAAAGGGTACAAAGATAATTTGACGTCACTACTATGCACTCACCAAATTAGGGTTCATACATTCTTACATTAGAAATTTTTAAAATATCATGATTTGATTTGGAAAATCCTAGTTGATATGCATCACAAGTGTTTCGGGAATTTCCTTTCTTAAAATTTTCTTAGTATACAATTCCTCAATATCTTGATGGATTGAGGTATTGATCAGGAATCATGTTGACCGATCAACATGTCTCTCGATCGATCGAGTTGTTCAAAAAAGTAGTTTCCTTTTCAGCTTTAAAAACTAGAAATCTTATATTCTACACAACACTGATTTGTCTAGAAATAGACTATCATAGAGCAAACCCAAAGACATACAAAATTTACAAAAAGAATTATATGATCGAGAGCTTTTAAGCAAAATTGAGTGCATTTATATTTTTCTTTTAGCAATCATCAATTGCATCAGATAGGTGAGTGTTATATGAGTGTGTGAACATTATAATTACTCTGGAACTGATTTGCACGAGTTCAAGACCAATGATTGTCAAACCGAGATTACATTGGACGACTACTCATTGGAGATCACATCATTGGTTGGAGAAGCGGATCGCATGAGAAGCGGATTTGTTGATGAGCATACTGTATTCCTGGAGACTAGAGTGGAGAGTTTAGTGATCAAACTGTGTCGAGAAAATTAGGGGTTTCAAGGCCTGGAAACTGTTAACCTAGTGTAAATCACTTTCTCATAGTCGATTTGGTTTGCCTGGGCTAGATCTTGTGCTTTTTTTATGTTTGGATTTTCTCTATTAATTATCTTTTTTACTACTTTATTTTATTATTGTTAAATAGTATATTGATTACATGATGGACTCATTGGATTTCAATTTTTAGTTTCAATTTATATTTGATATTTCACTAATTTAGCTAAAAAAATTAAAAGGTGTTAAAATTAGGTAAAGCCTAGGAAGCACGGATACAGCCACGAGACACAAATACAACACGATACGAGCACGGGTGGTAAATCTAAAAAAAATAGGACACAGATACCGCGTGGATAAGTCAAAAATAATAATAATGTAATATATTATTATATATATAAATAATAGTTTTTGGTCATTTTATCCATATAATCATTAATGAAATCACTAATTTGGAGCTAGATGTATTTTATTTTTGTTTTATTCTATTTTATTTTATTTTTTTAATTAACCCATAATATATTTTAAATTGCATTGAATCCCATTCTTCTAAAAAAATCATTACAAAACCACTCCGTCGTGTCCTGAAAGTGTCCAAAACGTGTACTTGCCATGTTCTAGCTGTGCCCAACCAGAAAATAAAATTTCAAATTTCAGGACACTTCTAGCCGTGTTCGTGTGTCCGATACTGCCACGGCACCCAACGAAGTGTCTGTGCTTCCTAGGATAAATCTACCAACAAAACCCATTCACCCCCCTTTATGTTTAGATCATGGACCTTGCGAAAACTTTACATCAAAGCCTAGGGTTCCGCTCTTTAACCCATCAATTGGTATTAGAGCCTATTTTACATGGACTCTCCTATTTCCGTTTAGGTACTCGTGTAACTCGTGCTGACACAACACAACATGTGTATGAGTACAAGATATGTGTTTGACACACGAACCCAAATTGGACACTTTGATCCTTCAATCACACATGATCGAAGAGGAAGAAGAAGAAAGAATTGTCAAGGGTTGCAGCTTAGTGGTACTTTCTCACTTTCCAAAGTGGAAGGCCGGCGGTTCGAGTCCCCATAAGGTAAAGTGGGTGTGTGAGTTTCAACAAGAAGGGAAAAAAAATCAAATTTAATAACAGACATTCCTATCCTATCTATGATATAGATGAAAACCCTTTTCTTCTACCACATCCCATTTAATTTGACTAATAATTCTTTTGAGCGCTTTTTTTTACAAATCTTACTTATAAAAAAAAAAAAAAAAAATTGAGTAATAATTGAGTATATTCTTACAAAACAACAATAATGAACATTACACAATAATAAACATATAGTGTATCCTAAAATTTAGATTTGAGTAGGCCTGGCACTTAAGACACACCCAAACCCTATAGACTTACCTGAGTCCAGTGCACTGAGGAAGTGTAAGACACAACCTGAACATGACAACTATTGCAAATATGTGACAATAGTGTCCAGTTGAGAGCAGCTTAAGAAGAGGATGATGAGGAGCATCTCACTCAGATCTAACTGACAAAGGAAAATTAACTTTGATCCTGATCTAGTTGCTTGGAAAGAGATAGGACACCTAATTGGTTAGGTGGACCTACGATTTTAGACAAACCCAAGGATTGCATCATTTGGAACTGTTGGAAATCTTATCTATAAGTTGACTCAACGATTATGGCAGATTTATTGGGTCTTCAATATAGACTAATATTTAGGGATTTTATTTTTATTCTGATTTGATTTGATTTTATTTTATTCTCTTTATTTTGATTTGATTTTATTCTCTTTTCCATATTTGTAATTTTCCGCTTGTATATAATGATAGTCAGGCTCTTAAATTGAGTACGCCAATTTTACCAAGTTACTTTTTGGTATCAGAGCCTCAAACCTACGCCTCCTCCATCTCTCTCTCTTTCACCGCCTCTTTTAATATCTCCCTCTATCTCGTTACAGCCCCTTCCCTATTTTTTTTTTTCACAGACCTCTCTTTTTCAAGTCGCTGTTGCGACAGTCCTAGGGGGAGTCAATCTCCTCTAGGTTCGACCCCTGTAGGGGTATTCCCTTAGTCTTTTTCATGCACTAAGGGTCAGAAGACGTGTTTGTAATTTTTTGGGGCTGCCGGGATATTCGGCAGCATTTTCGGATCAGACCGCCGTGTCTCCGGCTTCTTGGTTTGATCAAAATCAGGTCTATTCCTCCTTTATTTGAAATTATTGGTAATCTGCTGAATTGTTCTATTTAATATTATGGCTAAATCAAGTAATAATAAAGAAACTCTCTTTTCGGCGCAACACACACCGGCTCAACGAGTTACTAGTGTGCTGTTCAATGGCCGTAATTTTGCATCCTGGGCTCGTTCCCTCCGCCTCTATGTTGGTGGAAAAGGCAAATCAGGGTGGATTTTGGGTACTGAAAATAGGCCAGATATTAAAGATCCTAAATATGCTCAGTGGGATATGGACAATTGCACCATTTTAGGATGGATGTTTAATTCTATGGAGGAACGCATTTATAATATATTCATGTTTTATGACTCTGCTAATGACTTGTGGACTGCTTTGAATCAAATGTATGCTCATTCTAGGAATGATGCTCGTATTTTTGAATTATATCAAGATATTGCTAAGGCCTCGCAGGAAGGCCTGAATTTGTTTGTAACTGATTATTTTGGGTATTTGAGATCTCGTTGGAAGGAACTAGCTCAATATGAGCCTCTCAGTGAATTTCCTTCTGAGGCAGCCTCTTTTCTTGTCAAACGTCTTGATCGTCAACATACCTATCAGTTTTTGATGGGATTACGCCCAGAATTTGAACTACTAAAGTCTCAGATCTTGAATGCATCACCAATGCCATCCCTGTTGGAAGCCTTTGCTACTGTTGATGGTGAAGCACGCAGGCACCGTTTAATTCAGCCCATTCAGCCCTCAATTGTTCCTGTACCAGTGTCTGAGCCTGCTAGGGATAGTATGGCTTTTGCAGCCAACTTTGGATCACGAGCTTCTGAAGGTCAGATTATTTGTCACCATTGTGGAGGGGTTGGACATGTTAAGACTCGTTGCTTCAAACTTCATCCTGAACTGAAGCAAAAATTTTTTAGTAACCGTTTATCTGGAACTGGTTCTTCTCGTACTGCGGCTGTTACAGAAACTCCTGTTACTACTGGTGAATCTACTGTATTTCCTGGACTGAGCCAGCTTCAGTCTCAGATTAGGCATATCCAAGACCAGCTTGGCTCCCTTGCTTCTAGAGTTAGTGCTCCTTCAACTGCTCCCACTGCAACTATTGCTACAGGTACTCCTACTGCATTTCATGTTAAGGCCAAGCAGCCCACTTGGGTTCTGGATTCTGGGGCCAATGATCACATGACTGGTGAGTTATCAGTTTTTTCTTCTAATGTCATATTTGTTACCCAATCAGTGTATCTTGCGGATGGCTCTACATCTTACATTCACAGTAAGGGTGATGTTTGTCTGTCTCCTGATATTACTCTTTCATCTGTCCTTCATGTACCTAAATTTACCTTTAACCTTTTATCTGTTAGCCGGCTTGCAAAAAACCTCCAATGTGCAGTTATATTCTTACCAGATCACTGTTTGTTGCAGGACCTTTGTTCGAAGAGGATTTTTGGTAGGGGTATGAGCATGATGGGCTTTACTACTTTGGGGAACCACCAGGAACGAGTCTTCAAGCTTCTGTCCTACCTACTTCTAGTGTTTATGATGTTTCTTTTCGCACTTTTAGTCTGTGGCATGCACGTTTGGGGCATGTAAACTTTCAATATCTATGTCTATTGTTTCCTTCGTTAAATAAAGCATGTAAGGACCACAAGTTTCAATGTGAAGTTTGTGAGCTTTCTAAACATACTAGAACTAGCTATATTTCTCATATGAGTCGTGCTCCTAGTATGTTTGATCTTATTCATTCTGATGTCTGGGGCCCTTCCCCAGTTACTGTTTTCTCTGGACATCGATATTATGTGACATTTATTGATGATTATTCTCGTTGTACTTGGGTTTATTTATTGAAAAAGAAATCTGATGTGTTTCTTTTATTTACCCAGTTTCTTCAAATGATCAAAACCCAGTATAACACTGTTGTCCGAAATATTCGTTCTGATAATGGATGAGAATATGTTTCGAATGAGTTCCGATCTGAATTTAATAAAAAGGGGATTTTACATCAACTCACTTGCCCCTATACTCCTGAGCAAAATGGCGTGGCTGAACGCAAAAACCGTCATCTTATGTCTGTGGTCCGATGTCTTCTGAGTGGTATACATGTGCCTAAATTCTAATGGCACATGGCTGTTCTTACAGCTGCTTTTCTGATTAATCGTACTCCCAGTCGAGTTTTGGGTGGTAAGGCACCACTTCAGATTCTCCAGCCTGATTATACATTGTTTCACTTTCTGCCTCGTGTTTTTGGCTGTACTTGTTTTGTTCATAATCCTTCTCGTCATAAACTTGATGATAAATCTATTAGGTGTATTTTCTTGGGGTATTCTGCTATGTCAAAGGGCTATCGTTGTTATGATCCTGTGACCAAACATATGTATCATTCTCTTGATGTGACATTTCATGAAACTGTTCCTTTTTATCGTACTAATTCTGTGGTACAGGATTCTCTCTCTTGTGATCTGAAGAAGGAGATTTCTCCTATTGCCCGTCCTGTTCCTCTCTTTGAAAATCACACTGTCCTGGAATCTCCTTCTCCATCCATGTAGGGTTCCCCTCCACCTTTGCAGGTCTACTCTCGTCGCCATCGCACTCAACCTCCCCTGCCAGAATCATAATAATACATGGGAACTTGTTGCTTTACCTTCTGGGGAGAAAACGGTTTGCTGCAAGCGGGTCTTTAATGTGAAGTACTTAGCCGATGGTTCTATTGATTGGTATAAGGCTCGATTGGTGGCAAAAGGCTTTACTCAGATTCCGGGCAAGGACTTTAGTGCTACCTTTGCTCCTGTGGCTAAGTTGACGTCTATACGACTGCTTGTCTCCTTGTCTGCTGCCCATTCTTGGCCTCTGCATCAGTTAGATGTCAAGAATGCATTTCTTAATGGAGACTTACTTTAGACTATATATATGGATCCACCCCCTGGATTTCGGGTTGAGGGGGAGTATGCTGGGAAAGTCTGTCGGCTACGGAAGTCTCTTTATGGTCTGAAGCAATCTCCTAGAGCTTGGTTTAGTCGTTTCAACAATGTTGTTTTATCCATGGGCTTTGTGCGCTGCCACTCAGACCATACTTGTTTTATTCAACGTCGCTCTGATGGTCGTTGCATTATGTTATTGGTATATGTGGATGATATCATTATCACAGGTAATGATGTTTCAGGAATTGCTCAGGCGAAACTTCATCTTCAAAAGTCCTTTGATATGAAGGACTTAGGTCCTCTTCGATATTTTCTTCAAATTGAGGTTGCTAGATCCCGTCGTGGAATTTCTTTATCTCAAAGAAAATATGTTTTGGATCTTCTTCAAGATACTGGCATGCTTGGGTGTCGACCCGCTTCCACTCCTATGGACCCCAATCTTAAACTCTCTGTTGAGTCAGGGGAATTACTTCCAGATCCATCCATATATCAACGTTTAGTAGGTCGTCTTATCTACTTGACTAACACAAGGCCCGATTTGACATTTGCTGTCAGTGTGATTAGTCAATTCATGCATGCCCCTCGCTCAACTCATATGGATGCAGTCTACCATATTTTGAGGTACCTTAAGTCATGCCCTGGTCTTGGTCTGTTCTATGCCTCAGGAAATCAGTCTGGACTCTCATGCTTCACTGATGCAGACTATGCTGGATGTAAGACAGATAGACGTTCTACCTCTGGCTTCTGTACTATCTATGGTAATCATCTCATATCATGGAAGAGTAAGAAGCAGGCTGTTGTTTCTAGATCCTCTGCTGAAGCTGAATACCGAGCTATGGCTCAAGGTACTTGTGAGCTCCTTTGGCTTTAATCAATTTTGGGAGAGTTGGGTCTTGTACAGAAAGGTTCTTCAAGGCTGTTTTGTGACAATAAATCAGCCATTATGCTTGTTTTTGATTCTGTTTTACATGAAAGGTCGAAACATATTGAGGTAGACATTCACTTTATTCGAGAGAAGGTTCGATCGGGTATCATTAATCCTATTTTTGTTCCTTCTTCGGAACAGACTACAGATGTGTTCACAAAGTCTGTTGGGCCTTCTCTTCTCCAGTCTTCCATCGTCAAGCTGGGCTTAGTCAACATATTTGCTCCAGCTTGAGGGGGAGTGTTGGAAATCTCATCTATAAGTTGACTCAACGATTATGGCAGATTTATTGGGTCTTCAATATAGGCTAATTTTTAGGGATTTTATTTTTATTCTGATTTGATTTTATTTTATTCTCTTTATTTTGATTTTATTTTATTCTCTTTTCCATATTTGTAATTTTCCGCTTGTATATAATGATAGTCAGGCTCTCAAATTGAGTACGCCAATTTTACCAAGTTACTTTTGGAACAAAATATGCCAAGATTTGCAGATCAAATTTTGTCAAATTGCTGATTTGGCTACTTTCACTGCTAATTTAACCTCTTAACAAGTACTCGTTATGACTTGTTTCGGTGAGTGGACCATCTCAAATGGCATGTTTTGTAAGTTCTGTTTTGCTTGGGCACCAAACCCTGTCCTTACATGATCGGTTCAAATTTTTACTAGCATTAGTGAGGAGACTCAAACCTAGCCAAAGAATCTTGCAACCAAAAGGTAACACCCACTAGATTTTCAAAATTTTACAGATATATAAACACAACAACAACCACCAAACCTTTTCCCAATTACTTGGGGTCGACTACATGAATCCCGTGTTTTCATTCCACTCTATTTAATGTCATGACTTCAGTCAATCCACATGCTAACATATCTTTCTTTACTAACTCTACCCATGTTAATTTTGGTCTTCCTCTTCTCCTAGTATTACCCTTTGATGTGGACCATGTCATTTTTCCTACCGGTGCACTTAAAGGTCTTCTTTGCACATGTCCAAACCATCTTAACCTATTTTCTCTCATTTTATCTCCAATTGGTGATACTCCAACCATCTCCTGAATGTGCTCATTTATAATTCTATCATTTCTAATCTCACCGCATGCCCATCTCAACATTCGCATTTCTAACACCCTCACTTTATGCAATTGTTGTTTTCTAGCTACCCAACATTTGGTACCATAAAGTATGGCTGGTCTAATAGCTATTCTATAGAACTCCCCTTCCAATCCTAAGGGAATACGCCTATCACACAATGTATTAGATGCACTCCTCCATTTAAATCATCCTGCCTTGATTCTATGATTAACGTCATCCCCAATTTCTCTCTCATTATGAATAATTGAGTCTAGATAACGAATATGTTCACTTTATTGTACCTATTGATTCGCAATCCTCACTACATCCTCATTTGTGTTTCTAGATTTACTAAAATTACAATCCATATATTCAGTTTGTTTCAACTAATCTTAAACCCTTTACTGACATATCAATACAAAAAAAAATTATTTTCAAATGTACATATATCATCACTAGTAGACACGCTCGCACTTCTGCTCGTGTTCTAGCTCTTGCTCTCATTCTGCTCCACTATCCTAAGGAAGGAGTTGCTGCAAGGCCACCTTTACATCAAAGCCTAGACTTTAGTACTTCAGTTGGTTTTGACCAAAAACAAAAAAAAAAAAACCTGGGTTGCAGTGGCATGTAGTCCCCTCTGTTTCTTATAGCTTCAAATGACCCGTATACTTGTAAATACCCCATTATTTCACAAATCCCCATAGACATCATTTTTTCACATTTTACCTTTAACAAAATCGACTTTTGAGATGTGCCCTCTCTCTCTCTCAATCTTGCAGACATATCAATCACCATATGTAAGTCTGAAATTTACTTTTATATTTATTTCATATTCTACAATAATATTTCATTCTCTTTCCCCTGGAAAATGAAGAAGAATAAGACAAAAAAGGAAGAAAGAAAAAAACACCATACAAAGGGACTGCAAGAGACTTTGTATTTCACAGATGATAAAGCAAAAAGATAGTGAAAATGTAGTTCATTTCACATATCAACACTGATAACTGACTACTAAGAAAACATAGTCATACTATACCTTGCCACCAACAATGCTCCAAACACCTTCACTCTCTTCTTCAATCTCAGAAGCACTTGACCTATCTATAGACAAATTTACAGGCGGGTCCTAACATCAGAAAAAATATTTCTTAGCAAACTGAGTGACTTTATATTTTTTCAGAAATATGAGAAATCACTTGAAGCAAATTTAAGAATGACCATCAGTATGCACCTTAGCATAGTGATCCTTGATAGATGATGTTAGAGGCAAAACTTCCACACCACGGACATAACCCTGTAAACAACCTTCATCTTCATCAATACTAGCCAAATGCAGTCTCCTCAGAATATTCGAGTTGTCATCCAATGAGGAAGTTAAAGGCTTCTCTCCCACAATCTCTCCATCAATGTGAAGCCGCACAAAATCAATAGAAACCTAACATGAACATACCAAGAATAAGATTATCACAAACAGCTTCATAGAAGACCACAAACATCACACAAGACTAATGTCACTGTCAAATGAATTACTTAAATTAGTCGATCAGAACCTCAACTATATCCAGGTTTCACTTGAACTTCATAGAAATGTAATTTAGTCTAGGTTAATTATTGTTTATTGAGTGTCTCAATTGACCAAAAATGCAATGACTTTACACATAAAATGTGAAACTAATTCTGAAGCAAATTTCAGCTTGTCAAAACTTATTATTAGTTATAAAATATTTTTAGAGTTCATCCACTCTTTCAGCATCATTTGCTCACCATAATCTCCTCTTTAACGGCAGAACCATTCAACTAGTGAGGCTATCTAATGCATGAATGTGTGCTACTAATCTTAACTAGGTTACCAAGAGGTGGAGTGCAGAGAAATCAACATTCTTTGTACAAGACAGCAAAAAAAGCCACAAATTTAAGTTTGTCGTCAAATTCTTGGGTTTGACTAGTCAAATTCACACCATAGATTTCGATTGGATCCACTTAATTCACAAATTAGACCAAAATTGGCTAACCACTTGGATGGATTAGGAGATCTTAATTTTTCAAGTCTTTCCATTTATGGAATCAAAATTTCATATCTTTTTTTTTTTTTTTTTTTTTTTTGTTTAAATAAGTAAGATTTTATTGAAAACGCTCAAAAGGGAAGCGGAACCCAAAGAAACAAAAGGGCCAAAGGGCGCCTTAGACCTTCAAAGAGGCCAAAAAAGCAAAAATTTCATATCTTTTTTATATGTCGCCTAACTTTAATTCTAAACCCAAAGCCACAAAATGCAATCGTAAAGATAACCAGTATGTCCTCGGATGCTGTGCGTCAAATCCCTTATAAACCTTTAGGAAATTCAGACACCCTTAAGGGCAGCACATGAAAGAAAAATCACATTTTCATAAAGCCCAGGATGCTAGCATCCGAGTCCAAGCGAACTGTTTCTCTGAAAGTCAAATAAGAACTTACAAGTTAAAGCATATGGATGCAAAAAGCACATAATCCAGTGCCACTCATTGACAGAACCATGATACTGTTAAAGAAAGTTCTATATAAATTATCTCATGGAGTCGATGCAAAAATTGACAACAAAAGATATCACAATGGATTGGTCAACTCTTTTATATATTTAATGTGACCTTTAGGATGTTCATAACATACCTCACATCCAACATGAACCCATTTCTTCATAGGGAACTCAATATTGGCAGTTGCATGTGGAGCTTCTGTCCATGGAATAAAATTGCCAGGAGTAGGAGCTTCTTCGTGTAGAAATAGCAATGGCAAAATCATCAGTCTTTTCTTTTCATTCAACACAATAAAAGGGATACTGTAAGCGGTATCCGAGTTCACCTGCATACCCAAAAATGACCTTAAGTATGTCACCGTTTCACCATAGAACATAGACTAGAAACAGATAGAAGATGCACTTGAAATGATATTTTGACAATTGCATTGTTATTGAAACAGTCGAATGATGGTTATAAATAATTCTTTATGCTTTGTGTTAAACACATCCTATAGTGCAGGATATATGACTTGTTTCATTAATTTTGTAAGCTGAGTCACACATTGATGCAGATTGCTCGGGTGTGATAGGCAGTCATTTTTTTCTTCTTCCTGTTTGTAGTTTTTTAGACTATACAGTTATCTGACCGCAAGGGTAAGTGGCCTAAGTTGGTGGTCCTGATGAATTGTGTAGCCTAAGGCAATAATTGATAACTAATTCAAACAACCAAAAAAACTATCTGAAATACAGTCAGGCCTTTCTAGCTATCTGAAATCAGAAACCTGTTCATTCTGAAAGACTTCATCAGATAAAATGGGGGTTGGAATAGGGGAAAATCAAATACAAAAACCAGAATTGGGCATTTCTCCTTATAATGAATACAATGCTAGTATACAGTGAGATGGTCTTCTGAAGAAACTAGGGTACCTAAAAGCTCTGAAGTTTTGGTCTTTCAAGAACTTGTCAACGATAAATATAAAAAAACCCAATAAGCAAGCATTAACAATCAGTACAATCATTCAAAAAAAAAAAAAAAATGAAACAAATCCCTAGAAACAAAGAAATGAGAAATGGCTATGAATTACAAACAAATATCGAATGTTCAAGAAGGAATGAAACAAGATTACCCCATGATCCCTATCCCTATGTAGCATGCGCATAGAAAACCAGAAAGATATAGGTATAGACATGGTTATAAATATATATACATATAAGAGTTTAAAAGACTATATAGATTATATGTATATGTACATATAGAGAGAGGGGGGAGGAGGAGGCAGTTAGAGACCTGGCGAAGGATTATAGAGGGCAATGGACTGAAGTTGGTGAGGTAGAGCCAGAAACAGAGAGAGAAAGTTCCATTTTCACCGTCGATTTCAATTCTAAGATCCTTCAGCGACGAGTAATCGTCGGCCTCTGCCACATTAGTCCCCATAAATTGTTAACTTTTTTTCACAGAACCTAAAACCCCTCTCTCTCTCCCCCCCCTCTACTTTCTGTTACCTCTCTCTCTCAAGCGCGTGACGGCTGTTAATTAACGGTCGGTGTGTCTTCGGCAGTTCATGCTCTCTCTCTCTTTAATTGGAAGCAATCAGGTGCTTTGCATGTGCGACGAAAACCTCAACTTTCCAATAATCAGTCGACAAGTCAGGGACATGAAGAAGTGGCTCAGTAAAATAAGAAGGGCAAAAAAGAAAATTCATACGGTAATAAATACTGTACTTCTAATTCTTTCTTGAAAAATGGTTGGTTTTTGGAAGTATTTTGTTTTAAATAATTGTTTTGAGTCTCATTGAAGATTTGAATGTGAAGTTTAAATAATAAATCTTACAAAGTTTGGTTTTTTTGTTTTTTTTATTTATTTATTTATTTTTTTTTCTGTTTCTGGAGCTGGATGTCTTTATTGTACGAAAAGAGAGGTGATAGTCTGGAGAATAGTGTAATGCCAACGGGTACACTTCACCATTTTTTTGTTTTTTTTTTTTTTCGAACCGTGCATAATTTTGCACCAAAATTTGTAAACAGGACTATCAGTTGAGTTGATTATTTGTTTTTTTTAGAAAAACGAAAAAGAAAATTAGGATCATTTACATTACTTGCACCATGTAAAAACAATACCATTAGGATTATTAATTTGCTGGAAAGTTCTGTTTTTCTTCCTTCTAGCTCCAAGTTTGACAATGATTCAGAGAATTTTTAGTTGACAAAGACCCCCCAAATTTGACTCATTTGGTGGTTCAAAATTATCATCAACAACCAGCCCATCTTTCCGTAATATTCCGACTTTTTAGGGACAAAAATTCTCTCATGCAAATTCACTATCTGTTATATCCAAGTAAGTTACAATTAATGATAACTCATGTTGCAATAACATTGTAAAATTGGGTAAAACTTGAAATTATATAGCAACATTATTATAACGTATTTCACTAACGGAATGGAACTTGACCAAACTCACCGGAGAGGATTTGGTCCATTATTTAGACTAGCAACTACATTATCAAATGCTAAGAAGGTAAGAAACGGTTCTCTAGTGACCAACTGCAATCAATATCTACACCATATTGCTCATATGTCCCATAAGTTATGACTCTGGATAGTAGTCACAAAGAAGTTAAATCAATACCAGTAATGGAATTGAGCTTTCCTGTCAAATGTCAAGAGTAATTTCCCCTATTCTGTAGCTCCATGTTAGGTATGTTATAGTCCTTCAAGCACATATTGTGATGAAACTCATCTCACCTGGCTTTTCCCTTTCCTTTTCGGGTTGTAACAATCCCATATATACCACCATTTGTATGTCACGGTCTCGGTCTCCAGATAAATTGACGATAGTCTTTTTATATTCAACTAGTGAGATGCAACCTACTGAAAACAAATTAACCCGACCAAAGCAACTGAGCGTAAAGCTAGAAGTAGAGATTGTGGTCTCATAAGCAGATTTATATGTATCCCATACACTACCTTGATCGGAATAATCTGTATGAAGTAACCAGTGGACCTGCTCAGAAGTCTAGTAGATTAGCAGGGCCATCTGAGAGAATATAGGGTAAAGAGCAACCAGAGAAAATCTCAGGTCTGTCAAATATGTAGCAATTTTCCGGTGAGACTCGAGAAAATGCATCGGAAGATGACCATGCTTAATTTGATTATCCAACAAGCAAGTAAGAAGCGAAGGATTAAAGGCTATGGATTCTAAATGTAAATTGCTTGAAATTCATGCAACTAAACAGAAAAACTTTTCTGCTTAAGAATGTTGCCATGCAGGGGACAGGTGATGGATATTCAACGGCAGTAGTAAACAAAAGAATCAGAGATCAAGTAACATTGAATTTTAACCATGTTTTCACAATGATAGATTGATCCATTATGAAAAAGCAAAATAAATGTCCATTTAATCATTAGTAAATCTACTCAACAAACCCTTTCGCAACTAAGCCATTTAAATTCATCAAAACTTTCAGAATTTAACTAGCCACGGTTTATACAAAATTTCCACTATAATAAACTTCTGCAATTCTATGATAGGCATTTATTGATTGCATTCAACATTTCACTACAAGTATTTCGTCACTCTCGTCGTATGCTCATACTCAATTTGGAGCAATTGACAAATAATCAGCATAGACAATACAATTCGAGTATTTCAGTCTCAAAGTAAGAGCTTAAAGAACAACTAGTCCAAATATACATACAAGTTTCATATCAAACTTTGGCATAAGATCGTATTCTTCTAGTGTGCTTGCCCGACTTTGGTCTCTTAATTCGGTTTCAATTTCAGGGAGGCACTGCAGATGTAACCATGATTGACATTAAGATCATAAAAAAATATATCCAGAAGGGAAGGAGGAGGGGGCAATTCCCAAAACTAGAAGAAAGTACATACCTATTGATACAATAACGCTTTCCTGTGGGTGGGGGGCCGTCATCAAAGACATGACCAAGATGAGCTTTGCAAGCAGCACAGACAACTTCTTGGCGAGGCATGAAAATAATTGACAAGTCTAACTTTGACTTCACATTGTCTCCTATGGGCTGATAATAGGATGGCCAACCAGTTCCACTGTCAAATTTGGTTGATGATCTAGATAACAGAATAGTGTTCTATCAATTTCACAAAAATGTTGAATGAGAAAAAGTTTCATCGTTATAATAGCAAAAACACCTAGGTATAATACTTACTCAAATAGAGGGGTATCACAACATATGCAGTGGTAATTTCCGGGGGTTTTGGTGTTCCAGTATTCCCTGAACAAGAGATAAAATAGCAGATGATATAGATATATGGTAAAAACAAATTTTGTTTAATTTTAAATTATTGAGTAGAGTTAAGTTTCAGGTGTAAGCATTTTTCCCTCTCTGTAATGCATTGAAGCCTGTCATTCTTACCCAATATGCCCAGTTGCTACGATCTCCTGATGGGCATGTAAGCCCGAGCATGCATCAGGATGTGCAGGAGCAAGATACACCCAGAATGCTGTATACATGCTATCCTGATGCAAGCGGTGGGTGAAGGTAAACCACCTCTCATATCTCCACAATTTATTACTCTTCTTTTTGCTTTTGTTTGGAGGGGAGAGGAGGTACATAAAAAGAAAGTCCGCATATGTCGACATACTAAGAAACACACTTTGTGAGGCTAGATCACCCATCCTTGGAACATTAGGACCTCTTTGCAGGACCCACTTGGGCTACAAGGCCTGTAATACCCTAACCAAATCTCGACATCAAATGCCAGCCTGAAAGATGCATCGAGGCTGTAGACTCTCTCCCTTTTTGTTCAAACATGGTAGCTATAGTGAATTCTCAGTTCTGAGTGCGAAATTATGGGAACAATATTTTGAGAGCAAAAAAAAGAAGAAAAAAAAGTGATTTGGGAACAAAAGCAGACTGATAGAGGCTAAATTCCACTTCTTTCATATTCTTAGTACAGAAAGAAGCAAAGAAGTGGAGTACCCAGTTGGTGCTAAGACCCCAATATCTGCCTCAACAATTTTTCGTTGCCTACTACATGAAGAAATGATGAAACTAATTCCTTAAGTCAACAGTCAGGAGCAGCAATATATGGGTGTAAATCTTGATAACGGTAAACATATCCATATTAACAATGGAAACCCATTAATATTCTGGGAGTGCTATATTGAATTTTGACTTGTGACCAAGGCTTTAGCTTAAGTGGTACATCCTCCTCTTCCTGCATGGGAGGTCGAGGGTTCAAGTCCCGTTTGGCCAATAGTTGGTGTCTGTGCTTACCTTCCTAAAAAAAATGGTGATATGTGAGAATGAGATTGTTGCCTGATGAAGTCATAATTTTTTTGCCTTGGCAGCATTCTCAAAATTTCTTATACAAGTTCACGAAAGCCTCTGCAGTATTTGTGATGCTAGTTGCATACTACATGAAGACATTATGAAAATAGCTACTTGAGTCAATAGAAGTAAGGGCAATAATATATTACAGTCAACTTAAAATTGGTCACATTTTCACAATTAACAGAAGGAAACCAATCATAAATCTGACAATGCTTCATTGATTTTTGAGATTATTCCCCAATGGATGCATAAAAATATTTAAAATTGCAAGCATTTGAAGAATTTTTTTACGTTAGATAATTTCAAACTCCAATATTTCAGGAACACTCTAGACATTCAAATATTTAAATTCCACAGTCTCAGAGATAAAGAAGATCTTTGGCACAAAACTAAATTTTAAAGGAAACGAAACAGTGGCCAATAGTTGAACGAATAAAATGTAAAAGGTATCATACCCAGTAAAAGCCCTCTCGGTCCCCTTTTGCCTGGTTATATAAAATTGTTCCCCTGTGAGCCGCTTCTTCCATTCTTCATCACTTATAGAAGTATAACCTACCTTGCTTGTCTCTAGACAACACACATCAATTAATATTGAACTTTTAATGAAAACAAACTATATTAGAAATTAAAGAAGATGAGCAGAAGAATGATAATGATAATTCTAGGAGGAATATGATTCTTTCAAAGCATATATATCACCTAACCAGAACATGAAGGACACTTAAAGTCTTGAACTAAGACCAAAATATGCAGTTATATCATTAAACTAGTAGTTGCACAAATTGGGTAAATACCATTTTCATTCATTTAAAGGTATATCTTTTTTATTGGAGTTGATAAAAAGGATTAGTTAAGTTCTGATCATTTTAAGCGTTTTGGCTTGAATATTTGGGCTAGAAACAGTTAGAATGATCATCTAAGCTATTAAAAAAAATTTAAAACCCAAATTCTTCAAGCTTCCACTTCATCAAAACCTGGATTCCTCTTGCAATTCGATCATTTACAAGCCTAAACCACCAATTCAGCAGAAAAATATACTCCGTACTTCAAAGTCAAATAGAAACAGATTCTTCATATCATAAATTGTTTATGATTAATATATATAGGTATATATATAAAGCCGGGAAATATATATATATACATACACATATATATACACATATAGGTATATATGTGTATGTATATATATTAACTAGTTCATATATCAGAAGCAAATCAACACCCAATTTAATAATTTCACATAACACAAAACTCTACATAAATTCCAAGAAACATGGTAAGGAAATTGTAAATTTCAACCAGGAAGCATATTACCCATGACAGAAAATTATTACAAAAAGAAAATACTTGAATTGAAGAATAAAATTAAGGGATATAAATAAATTCAAGAGAAGAGACGGACCATAAACTTTGTCGGGTTTCTGAGAAGAAGCATAAGAGCCCATAGCACGATTTGAGAGAACTCTTCTTGTAGATCTGCTTAACAGTTGAAAAGCTAAAGCAAAGTTGGTTTTGGAACGAAAATTGAAATGGGGTTGTGAGGAGAAGTTAGTAGGAAAGTTCAAACTGCTTATTATGGCATGGGAAGTCATTTCTTGCCGATCCCAAACTAATACTATCCGGAAATATGCGTATTATTGTTATATTTTGATGTTTGGTATTTCATTAATTTGATTGGTCGTTATCGATTATCTTCATGGTCTGATAAGTAGCTGATTTTGACCTTTACAAGTGGCTTTCTCAAGTCCATGCACCAAGACAGATGGCACTACATCAGCCACGTGACCACGTCTATACATAAAATGCAACAGTAATACAAATACGTGGGGATTTTTTTTTTTTTTTTTTCTACTAAATTAGGATTGCAACTCGAAGGGTTGGACGGATTTGAGGTAAAATTTGAGCTCAATCCAATATATAAAATGTTTAACGCGAGCCTAATCTTAATCATACCTTCAACCCTAACTGCTCAACTCATTCTTTTACTTTTAAACTCGGGTTTGCATCTCAGACTTAGATTTCTAGTTAAAAAGTCCAATTAATCCGGATTACTCAAATGGACAATCTCCGCATGAAAATTTAATCTAATCTTGAATTACTTTTAGATTAAATTGAGTAACAAAATATATATATTACAAACTTTTAATAAATTACAAACAAATTCTTAAAATTTAATTCTCCTAAATTTTACATACAAAAAATTTAAGATTTAAGAAAAGAAGCTCAAACGAAAAATGATTATTTAAAATAAAATACATATGAAAAAATATTATAATTTGAGTTCGGGTTAGGCTTGGGTTGCTAGCACTTCAATCCAAGCCCAACCCTAATTAAGTTTGGATTAAGATTTTTCAACCCAAACCCGATCTTACTTATAAAAATGATTATTCAAGCCCCGCAAAAATTTCATACTAGGCTCGAAGTGGGTTCGAGTTGCCCAACCCAAGCTGCACCCCTACTACAAAATAGATGGGGATTACTCAATGGTTTTGGTATGATACCAATTTTCCGAATTGATATGCTCGTATTTTGAAGCCTTTTTCCTAGTTTGTCTGGAAATTTTTTTTTTTTTTAAATGTTTTGTTTGGAAATTTTTTTTTTCAAATAATATGAAATATACTCCAAAGTAAGGGGGTGCAACTACCCGAGCTTACCCCGATTTTTTTACAGCTTGAGTAATCATTTTTACAATCAAAGTTGGGTTTGGGTTAAAAAATATCAATCCAAATTTAATTAGGATTAGGCTTGGATTGAAGTGTTAGCAACCCGAGCCAACTCAAACCCGAATTCTAATATTATTTTCATATATATTTTTACTTTTAAACATATTATATATAATATTTAAATTATGATTACTTTTTTTTATTAAATGTTACTTATTGTATGTTAATATTTAGGAGAATTAATTTTTTAAAAAATTGGTTGTAATTTATTAAAAATCTATAAAAAAAAATCTTTAAACTTCTTCTTGTTTAAGAGTAATTTAATCTAAAGCTAATTCAAGAGCATATTAAATTTTTGGTATAAAAATTAGCCATATGAGTAACCCTAAATTTAACCCGAAATATAATCCCGAGTTGTAAGCCCGAATTTAAAAATATAAGGATGTGTTAGACTTGGGTTGAATAGTTAAAGTTGATAATAGAATTAAAGTCGAGCTTGGGCTTAACATTTTATATGGTGAGCTAGACTCAAATTATACCTCAAATTCGCTCAACCCGTCCGAATTACAACCCTACTCCAAAATATGTTCAAAATCATTTAATAATTTATTCATACAAATACTTATACAAAGAATCTACAATACAACTATCCAATACATTTTCATCCTTATTGGATTATTAATAATGATTTACATCTGGATTTATTTGTACACACGAACATAGACATAGAAATTATCAATTTGGGTTAGAGGAAATTCTCAGATTAGTTACTCTTCCGAAATTCTAAAAGTTAAACTTGAACAAATAAGAAAAAATTCAAAAAATAAATCTTCAAAAGATAAATATACAATAAATTAAAATTTACAACGAATTGAAAAAAAGGTTGATCGAGATTATAAATATATAAAATAAATATGATACGTAGTCCTTCACTTGAGTTAAGATTTTTAAAAAATTATTAAAGTTGTTGGAAAAATCGAGATGGCCCGTCCAACTGTCCAAGTGGCACTCCTGGCCACGTGGAGTGTGGACGCCCACCTCTGGCCATATCATTCATTGTGGGGAGAAATTATTGACAGTAGCGGAGGTTCCACGTCATTTTGACACCATGAACCAATAGAATTGAGACAGGTGGATTCCTCTCCTTCTCTTCCTCGTGGGGCTTAACGAGCCTAAATATTGGTCTAAATTGAATAAAATAACTCGAATCTTAAACCCGTCCCAGTTATATTACTCATCAAAAATCCATAGAGAATATTATCTACTACCCCTCTCCATTGAAGCGCGTGAAATACAATATAGTTTAAGAAGGCAGAGATTGTCCGAGATTGTCATCCACCCTTATAGAAAAGCGCGTAACCTAGTGATTCTCCTGTAATTTCCCGTATCCATCGAACTCCCAACACTTCCCACACCCAAACAAGAACACGCACAGTGCGATCTTGGGAGAGATGAGAGGCATGGCAGCATTCTCACCATCAAAACACTGGCAACCCACAACCCCAATCAACCCAACAAATCAATCTACCAGAAACCTCAACACCAACCTAATTCAATTCAACAAGAACAACCACCCATCACCCAAAAGAACAACACCACTTCCCTCTTTTTCCATAAAACCCTCCAAAACCCCAATTCAACCGATACAAAGCACCATCCCACCATTGGTGGTTGTTGGATCAGCCAATGCAGACATATATGTGGAGATTGACAGACTCCCCAAGGAGGGTGAGACCATCTCAGCCAAGACTGGCCAAACCCTAGCTGGTGGCAAAGGGGCCAACCAGGCTGTGTGCGGTGGGAAGCTGTCATACCCAACTTATTTTGTGGGACAGGTTGGCGAGGATGCTCATGGGAGGTTGATTGCTGAGGCACTTGAGGGTGGTGGGGTCCACCTTGATCACCTCAACATTGTGTCTGCTGCACCTACTGGCCATGCTGTGGTGATGCTCCAATCTGATGGCCAAAACTCCATCATCATTGTTGGGGGTGCCAACATGAGTTGTTGGCCCCAAACTCTCTCTGAGGAGGACCTGGAGACTGTGAGGAGTGCTGGGATTGTTTTGCTTCAGAGGGAAATCCCAGATTATGTCAACATTCAAGTTGCAAAGGTCAGGGCTTTCTTTGATACTATTTTCATTTTTGCAAATTTGCAATGCATATATATAATTTAATGTTTTGTATGGGTTTTCATTTCCTTCTATGGATGATTTGTTATGGTCTTTGTGTTCATTTTACAGAAAGATATTTAGTTTGTAATGCAAGATAGATGAAATATATATATATATATATATATATATATATATATATATATATATATATATATATATCTTAAACTTAATGATGTAGGGATAATTATTTTTAATTAATCGAATCAACTAAAGTTTAAATCATCAGTTTCTGTGAATTTGTTGTGTGCGTACTAGAAAACTTTATACAAGTGAAAGAGACCGGTCAGTTATTGTGCCTAGGATTGCATTGACATTCTGATTAGTTTGCAGGCTGATCAAAGGTAGAGAAACACTAGTCAGATTAAGGAACCTTGTTACTTATCAAAATATAAGTAGAACATGTTTATCTATTATTGGTGTTTGCACCACTATCAGGATAGATTAAATCGCAAAAGAATATAGGTTTGATGTTAACTGGATAATGGTACTATGGGAAACCTATGAAGCACCCTTACTTCTGAAGGGGGACATATTTGTGTTGGATACTGGTATTCTTCGGATACTATTTTGTGTAGCTCGTATAAATTGAAACAAAATGCTTCTTCAAGTGGTTGATTCGTGGATAAGGAGAGAAAACAGTGAGCTTCGCTCTATCAGATGGAAAGACAAGCTTCTTCTCTGTCATTTAAAAGTGTTTGAAGCAGAGATGGTGATGGAATCGTGATTGTTTGTAAACTTGTAAAGGCAATTTGTCATGCTTGGAGGATTTCAAGAAACTAATTTCCTATTAGTGGGGCAGGCCCATTGGGGATCTTATCAGCAATTATAAGAAAATGAAATTCCTTTTGCAGGATTTCAAATAAGTACAACATTTTTCTTGTGGTATGCTCGTTTTGCATTGTGACAAATCAGAATGAAAGAAAATGTGTTATAGATAACAAATTGAGTTTGCTTTACTAAGCCTGAAATGTGTTACTTAAAAGAATCATATTTCTAAATTACAGTATCATCACTCTTTGAAAGATAATTCTTTTGGGGAATTATAAATAATTTCTAAAACTCTTGTGCAGCAAGTGAAGTGGAATGAAGAATTTAAGAAAAAGAAAGAGAAATGTCAAAGAAAGTAGAATATTTACTTGATTAGCTTGTGTAGTGTGAGAGGAGATTGAAGGCTTCTTATCACCTTAATCTGCAACCATTTTTTTTCCTCATTGGAAATCTTCTTCTACTGCATCTTCATAGGAACCGCAAAAGGCCCCATTTGTTTCTTCTGGTTTTTAACTTTGGTTCTGTGGTGAATCTTTCTGAAATTCATTCCTGTCTCCTTGAGCCATGAATTCTCATCTTGCATTCTCCAAATACAGCTAGGCACCTCAGTCTCCAAGAAGCTCATATCCTTCTGTACATATCATATCTAATTTATTCCAAAAGTCCATGTACATGCAACAAAACTATCAAATTTTCCACGTGATTTTAATATTATAAATTATAAATATAGTTCATAAAAATGCTTGAAGTCATACTTATTTTATGAACAAATGTTAGTCATGATGTATATTTTATCATACGAAATTATATATAGATGCTTATAGATTTTAGTTTCTATGTTACATTCATACGATGCAACTTTACATATATACATATATGTATATTGTCATATCTTGCCATATCTATATACTGTTTTTCAAGAATTTATCATTTTTCTATGTCCGTGTCATGACGTTTTTATATCCCTTACCCGTGTCCATGCTTTAAATATATATATATTTTCTTGTCTTTCTAATTATGCTGTTTTTGTTTTTTGCTAAAACATGTCATGTCACAGTTTGCTGTCAAAAGTCCCAAGCCTTGAAATGATTGTGGTAATGTAGGCTATTATTATGCTCCAATGCTTGTCTGCTTCCAACCGCAAAATTCTGATTGTTTTGATTTCTTTTACTTCCTTTACCCTTGAAAACTAGTTTATTTGCAGTTCTAAGTAAATTTATTAACTTGATCTGCATATGTTCTCTAGACTATCATTGAAAATCATTTTGGTTTCGAGAAATTTAAATTGCTGTTCAAATTTTTATTCTGTATCCTTTGATAATCTGGTTCCATCTTATGTTATTAACTCATTCCAAGTTACACCTTGAGGCTATATATATATATATTTGTAATGTTTTTTGGTCTGTTTGATTTCGATAAATCCTTGCATAACTTGATTATTTTCAGGCTGCAAGAAGTGCTGGTGTCCCAGTCATCCTGGATGCTGGAGGAGTAGATGCACCCATCCCACCAGAACTACTGAGTTTTGTTGATATTCTGAGCCCAAATGAATCTGAACTTGATCGTTTAACGGGAATGCAGACTGAAAGTTTTGATCAGATTAGTCAAGCTGTGCTAAAATGCCATAAAATGGTGAGCTTCGGCAAACCTAATTAATTATGACTGTCCAAAATCTTACTTACCAGACCCAAGTTTATTGGGCACACTAAGATGTCTCATTTTGAACAGTCCATCTCATGAAATCATTACACTGATCGATGCCATTAGTTGCTCTGTCAGCTCCCATTTTCTTTTGATCCATTCTAAATGATGGATAGCAAGTGATATCCGTTTTGTTATGCACAATCATTTGAAAATTTGTTAATTCTGTATTATGCGTGATATTATCTATAGGGGTTCAAAATGTGACAGAATATCTAGGAATCAAAGCTTCATGGCTTCAAATGCTACCTTGGGGATTATCAATAATTTTTTTTTTTTTTTGGTGGGGAATCTGAACTGCCTTAGATTTATCTGAGAAAATTTATCTTCTCTAATCAGATACCATATAGATTCAAAAGCAATAGGAAATTTTTGGTGTACTAGCTCTCCTTAAGGGGAGGCGCAGGATTCAAGTCACATCTAGAATAAGTGGGTGTTTTGTACGTTTTTTCCGCCAGTATTTTGGTTTATTCAAGAGGAATAGTTCTTCTAGGTGTGACAATCATATATCAATTTTTTTTTGGATAAGTACATTCTAGACAGCAATTGTGCCAAATTTTACTTGTTTAAATATATTCAGAATATAGGCGTGTTCCCTCTCAGGGTGTCAAACAAATCCTCGTAAAACTTGGGTCCAAAGGTTCTGCTCTATTTGTGGAAGGAGAAGAACCCATTAAGCAACCCATCATATCAGCTGCTAGAGTCCTCGACACAACTGGAGCTGGTGATACTTTTACCGCTGCTTTCGCTGTGGCACTTGTGGAGGGGAAGTCCAAAACGGAATGCTTGAGATTTGCCGGTATGCATAGCGGTCCTTTTCTGGTTTTTTTCCCTCCATTTATATTTGTTCGTACGACTAAGTTCCTTATGCCATTTATAACAGCTGCTGCAGCCTCTCTCTGTGTACAAGTGAAAGGAGCAATTCCAAGCATGCCTGACAGGAAATCAGTTTTGGATCTTCTTCAGTCACTTTGAAGATTCTGTTTCTAGGTCGGCTCAACATGCACATAAGTAGAAGATAAGAGCTGACATTTTCTTTTTCAATTCTTAGGTACCATTGAATAAATGATTATTTAACTTGTAGGAAAATTTAAACTCAGATTCCTTGTACCAATAATTTTTTGGGTAAATTCCTCGTACCAACTCTCTCTCCCTCTCTCTCTGTCCTTTATATATATATATATGTATTGTCGAAAGAGAGCGATTCTAGCAATGAAATAACATGGGTTATGCTTGTCTTACAGAAAGCAGCTTGGTTTGCAAGAGTTTGGAATGTACCTCAACTAAATTACATGCAGATTGTCCAAACTGATTTGGGATTTGAAACCAGTATTTCTAGTTATCAAATTTTCTGATTTTAAACTCAAGTTAAAGATCTATTTAATTTAAGAACAAGCTGCAGTAGGTGCTCTTTGATAAAATTGAAAATTAGGTACGAGAAATTTTAAGAACTAAATTGGAAGAGTTGAAGTTGTACGGGAAATATCATTTAAACTTTTATCGTTTTCAGTGATATTTAAATTACATTATCAAACGTATTTAATTGAATAAGTATTGAATCGGTTCAGAATTAAGTGTTGAATTAAGTTATCAAACAACCTTAATATAGAAATATAATCTGAATTAACCAAGTCAACTAACTCCTATATTAAATCTATTCCTCAGTTTAGGAAGTCTTTAATCACTATAGATTATAGTATGATTTCAAAAAAATTATGCTATCAAATTATATCATCTTAATTTTTGTTCAATTAAAATATGGTTCTGAAAAAATGAAAGAGCAATTTGTGTGGCCTTCTAATAGTTTTTCCAACACCACACAAGTGGTCCGTCCATTTTCATCATTTCATCAGATATTATCAAGCAATATTTTGCACATTTATAGGCTGATGCAACCCAAAACCATATTTAGGCACCTACCCTCCAGAAAGGGCATTGATCCAACCAAAATCGACTCAATAATATTCCATTAATGGATTCATTTTTCTGGTTATATTGTCCACCTTCCTCAGCGTCACTAGTTTGCAATGATGTCAACATTACTCTAAATAATCAATTATATTTTTTGGTCACACTCTAGAGAACTTACAATTATTGCAACATAATGCGTGGCTTAAATGAAAGCCTTCGATTTTATTTTATTTTTTTCAATTTTCAGACATTAAATATGATCGAGACCAAATGTTTGGCCTTAGGTGGTATAAGGTTTGAACTCTAATAAGGAGGGGAAAAAATGATTGTTTATACATAAAGAAATAATTTTAAAAATAAAAATTAAATTAAATTAGAATTTGATAGAAATGGACATAACCACCATGAAATAAACAATTTGGAAACTGAATTGTCGGCACTTGGATAAAATATCAAAAGAGTAGTTGGGGGGGTCATATCTCATGAAGCGAAACTCCTTAAATTAGACATCTCTCTTAGAATCTCAACCGTTGCAAGAAAATAATAATAATAATTTGAACTAACGTCCCATTTGTTTATTTAATTTCTTTATCAAGAGACTAGTCCTAAACAACGTCCCATTTGTTTATTTAATTTGTAACAATATTTTTATATTATAGCCTAAATTACTAATGGTGTTGTTTTAATAATTAGTCATCAAACGCTGCACTATTTTCTCAAATGGTGCTATCCATTTATTCATATATTTAACAACCAATCAAAACTTTAAGAATGGGATCAAGACTCAAATCGATTTTAACATTAGTTTTGATTTAACTGAACCATTAAATGTCAAAAAATAAAATAAAATTACCAAGTGATACAGAATCCATGACTATCTAAACTATTTGTTGAATACTTCCTACTAAAAAAAAGGTTGGGGGAGGAAATGGAAAGGAAATTGTGTCCCATACTCCTTGTGCTTTGTTTTGGTAAGTAAACAACGCATGCACACCACATTACTTCAAAGGATTTATGTTACTTGAACCAATGGTTTGGTGGTACTTAATTGCACTCTCATCAAATGATATCCAATATCATGATTTGTCAAATGGTGTTACACACACACACACACATATCAAGATGGTTGGGGTTTGGGAATTTCCCTCAAAGGGATGGTAGTTGGGGACTGAATCCTTACCTGTAAAATAGTAAGACGTGTTCAGTTCAATTCAAGATACACCTTGTCTTATATCGGATTTGGATGGGTTGAAGTTTAAATAAATGGATGCGCAATGCAACACTATCCAATAGCTTGAGCTTTTGAATAAATGGGTAAGTACTCACCCATTACGTATATCCTCTACTAAAAAGAATGAAAGAGTTTGAGTTCATGTAAAAATAAATGGGTGCAGTGTGTTTTTGCCAATTAAAAATAATAATAATAATAATACTATGAAATGGGGAATATTACAAGATTTAAGATTTGATAGGTGAGTGAATAATTTAAGGGAATTAGTTGCAAAGTTTGAATGGTATTCGGGGGAGCTTTTACAATTCATCATAGTGATAAAAAATGACTAGTGATCATTGGTTAAACTTATTTGCCATTGACTAATGATTATATTTAACACCTAATGAGTTTTGTCTATCACAGTGTTTGGTTGTCCACAATCCACTTGGCCAACTAGTAATCCTCGAACATTAATATTGGGTTGATTAAAATAATTTGATAGCTAAGCTATCACTATCCCCAAACATCCCTCCTTAATTTTTATTTTCCTCTCTCCCAATGATTGATACAAAACAACCACTTGGCAATGATTGATGATCTAACCTGATTATCAAAAAGTTGTGCTATGTACTATTATTCCTGATTATTTGGGCATCAATTGATTCATTTGGTATATACGATTTAAGAATATTCTTTCATAATGATATACTTTGACAAAGTGAAAAGTTTTATTAAAGGAAAGTAAATCAATGATATTTTATATTTACTAAAATGTATATGAACTGATTTATATATATATATATATATATATATATATATACTTTGACAAAGTGAAAAGTTTTATTAAAGGAAAGTACTGATTTATATATATATATATATATATATACACAAGTATAAACTTTTAATTATAATAGAAATATGGATGAGCACAAATGAAATGAAAAACCTATCATGAATTAATTTTGATTGAATTACATTTGATTATAGTTGATATTAAAAACTTATATAAAGAATAAAAATGCCATTGACATGTATTATATGTATATGTTTTTATAGATGTATAGAAGTAGAGATATAGATTTAACATGATACAAATAAGGAGCCATGAAAAAAAAATGTGATTACCAAAAAGGGAAAAAGAAAAAAATAGGGGTATGGATATCTTTTGACCAAATGTACTTTTTTTTAAAAAACCTTCCTAACTATAAAAGAATTCCAAGTATTAAAGGTATGTTTGTCATTTATTTTTTTTAAAAATAAAAATAAATTTGATCATTTTCTAAAAATATTTAATTCACTGAATATAAGATTAATATCTAATTCAACAGTTACATAATAATATAAAGGTACAGATATCTTTTAACTAAATGTACTTTCTTAAAGACCAGTAAAACGTACTTGTATTGCAAGTGAATAAAAATTTAATTTAAAATTAATATTCAATAAAATAATAAAATAATTATTTTTTCAATGGTAATTAAAATTGTTTTTTTTTTTAAATAATTACATTGATATATTAATTAAGATAAACAGATTAATTACAAGATCAAATAATGATAATAATTTACAAAATCTATATTTTCTTGTCTAATTAGATTTTTCTTTTTTAAAAAAGTCATAATAAAAAGATAATTTGAGTTTTATAGAAACTATTATAAACACCTTATATTAATTAAAAAAATAAAAACTCATAAATAATAGGTAATTTGCTTTAGAATTTTATAGAAACTCTTAACTCTACTAAGACGTATATATTTATTTTATATATATATTTGTCTAATTAGAGAGACTAAATTATTTATTTTCTTTATATATTTTCTTGCCTAATTGGATTTTATTTTATTAAAAACTCATAATAAATAGGTAATTTGAATTTTAGAAACTCTTCTAAACACCTTCTATTAATTGAAAAAATAAAAACTCAGGTAATTTGAGTTTATAGAAACTCTTCTAAATTCTATTAATTGAAAAAATAAAAAGTCATACTAAATAGATAATTTGTGTTAGAGTTTTATAGAAACTCTTTTAAAAATTATTTTTATATTAATTAATAAATATTTTTCATATTTATAAATAATTACTAAAGTACTCTTACTAAATAAGTAGTTAAGAGCTTTATAGAAACTCTTAACTCTATTGAGACATATATATATTATATATATGTTTTTTGGTCTAATTATAGAGACTAAATTATGTATTTTCTTTATATATTTCCTTGTTTAATTAGATTTTATTTTATTAAAAAACTTATAATAAATAAGTAATTTGAATTTTATATAAACTCTTCTAAACATCTTATATTAATTGAAAAATATAAAAACTCATACTAAATAGATAATTTGTGTTAAAGTTTTACAGAAACTCTTTTATTTTTTTTTTAAATTTTTTTTATATTTAGGTAATTTATGTTAGAATTTTATAGAAACTCTTTAATTTTTTTTATATTAATTAATAAATATTTTTATATTTTTAAATAATTACTGAAATATTGAAACTCTTTATACTTTTAATAATAGTATATACATAGATATATTTGTTGTTTATATTAAAAATGAAAAATAATTATTAGGCCGATTTTTCTGATTTATTTGTTTTGTGGAAGAATTTTGATGTAGTGAATATTACTCATACTTGAATTCCATTGGTTAGATTTTTCGATCAAGCCAAAATTATTACTTTTAAAAAAAGAAAAGAAAAGAAAAGAAAAGGAGTACATTTATCATTTTTCTAAAAATATCTAATTAATCTAATTCAATACTATAATTAAATAAAGATGGTTAAACTAAAAACTACTAAATAATAAATGAGTAAGAAAATTACATTCTTGGCAGACGGAGTATGCACGTGCCACGTAGTCCGTACATACAACGTAGTATATATATATATATATCTATCCGTAAAGGAAAGTAGAGAGAGAGAGAGAACCCAATTTTCCCACACAAGTACGCAACGCAACAAGGTATTTTTCTCACCTCTGAACTCTGATCTGTCTTTTGTTACTTCAGATATTTCAAAACCTAGGGTTTCTGATCTCTCTCTCTCCTCCAATTCCTTTTGGTTTCTGAAATTTTCTTGGGGTTTTAGTCATCGTATGGAGTTAGATCTGTATTTATGAGGAATTGAACTTGTATGGTTGAGGGGTCTTTTTGAGAATTGGATGAGTAAGGTGGTTGTGGTTGGTGGGCTGTATAGTATAGGCTTTGCCAAAGAGAATTTGGAGAGAACGGGAAGGGATTGTGGGTTGGTGATTCGGAGTTGGTGTAGGTGGGGCAAATGCGGCTGATTTTGTGATTCGCTACCAAATTTGTTTGAGTTTTGAATTTTCAGTGAATTTTTGTTTTTTTTTATCTGATCCGAAGAAAGATCAAGAAACGAAGACGGAGTTTGTGGCGGTGTTGGATTAGGAGGTTGTTGAATCATGCAGCAAGATCAGCGTAAAAAGGTTAGTTTTTTTAACCCATCTCTCTCTCTCTCTAGAATCCTCTTTGTTCTGATTAAATTTGCGATATTTCTCTTGAATTCTCTATCACTCCTGAACTTCATATTTGTTTGAAGAAAGACGAGATCTTGTTGAAACTTATTGAAGCCAGATAAAAGCTGGTGCGCATACAATTCATTGAAAGTGTGAATATTTGATTAAACGATGGGCAAGACAAAGAACTTTACTCGGCCGACCTTAATACATTGAGATTGTTTATTTATTTACTTATTTTTTACTGTTTCATTATGGATTGTGAATAGACTAAACAGTTTTTCATTTTGCGTTTCATTCTGTTTTATTGGCTATCGAGCAGAGGAATTTGTATGTATGATACCTGAGGAGTATGGGATCTGGTTTAAGTCAATGCTGCTTTTGGTTTCTGGGAAGTGTAGGAGGAATTTGTTTGTATTCCAAGAAAGACTTTTTCTACTTATACGAGCTTGATAAGGATAATTGTCAATTAAGATTGATTTATTGGTGTCAAGATGTTCATATGTGGTTTGTTTCTGAAATTGACCGAATCAAGATGTACTGAGTCGGCTGTTGGCATGTACTCTTGTCCCTATTCCTGGGTTCTTTTAAATATATTTTGTGGATTTGGTAATATTGTTTCCATTTATGCTTTAATATAATTTTCTACTCTCGGGATTCCAATGAAAACTTACCAATCAATCATCAGATTTTGGGTACTTTATCATATCACTTTTTGCCAAAAAATTTGGGGTTTAGTACTTTTGGTTCAAAACCGGGTTGAATCTCTAGAATACATGGACTTCGTCATTGTGATTTTGACTTATAGTTGGGAATCATATTCTGTTCCTAGAAGTGATAACTCTAGTTGAATATAAATTTTAGCTTCTTGTTGCAAATGAATTTTGGTCCTTTGTAGGGTCTGAAACAGTGAGCTTTGGGTACTTTATCATATCACTTTCTTTGCCAAAAAATTTGGGGTTTAGTACTTTTGGTTCAAAACCGGGTTGAATCTCTAGAATACATGGACTTCGTCATTATGAACTGTCACCTTTTTGACTTATAGTTGGGAATCATATTCTATTCCTAGAAGTGATAACTCTAGTTGAATATAAATTTTAGCTTCTTGTTGCAAATGAATTTTGGTCCTTTGTAGGGTCTGAAAGAGTGAGTTTATGTTCTTCTGGTCTTTTAGACACTTCTAGGCTTTTATTATTGATTCTGTATAATTATTGTAGTAATATAAGTTGGGTTGCATTTGCACAAATTTTTTTCATGTGTTCTTGCTGCCACTTGATTAAACAGTCTTATTATGTATGCACATGTATTTCTGTATGTATATAGCATTTTGCTTGTTAAGATATCAAGTATTTATTATTTGTTGTGAGTTTTTTTCAAATTTGTTTGACCTTTATTGTGTTATTGGATCTGACTCCTTTTTAATATTAATCAGAGTCTAAAAGAGATGGACTTCTTCACTGAATATGGGGATGCCAATAGATACAAAATTCTGGAAATTATTGGAAAGGGAAGTTATGGAGTTGTTTGTGCTGCCATTGACACACATACTGGTGAAAAGGTGGCAATAAAGAAAATAAATGACATTTTTGAGCACATCTCTGATGCTGTTCGAATTTTGCGTGAGATCAAGTTGCTCAGGCTTTTACGGCATCCAGATATTGTTGAAATCAAGCGTATCATGCTGCCACCATCAAGGCAGGACTTTAAAGACATTTATGTTGTTTTTGAGCTCATGGAGTCCGACCTTCATCAAGTCATCAAAGCTAATGATGACTTGACACATGATCATCATCGTTTTTTCCTCTATCAGATGCTACGTGCATTAAAATATATGCATACAGGTAAACCAAGGAAAAAGAAAGATACTATCCTTAGCAGCACCATTGTTGGTTATTTTTCTTGAATGATGGGTTGATGAGGGATTTTTTTATTGTTTCTATTCTCATACAAAGCTGTTTGGTTGCAGCAAATGTTTATCATCGAGATCTTAAACCGAAGAATATTTTAGCAAATGCAAATTGCAAACTCAAAATATGTGATTTCGGTCTTGCAAGAGTTGCATTTAGTGACACTCCAACAACAATATTTTGGACGGTAAGCTATTCATATAAACGTCAATAATATGTGATTATATCACAGCGGTTGATTTGTATGGTATAAAATATATATATATATATTTTTTTCAATTCTCGTTTTTCAGAAAGTGAATCCCAACCTATATCATTTTTGGTGCTTCTGATACGTCTTGCAGGACTATGTTGCTACAAGATGGTATAGGGCTCCTGAGCTGTGTGGATCATTCTTCTCTAAGGTATAGCTTACTTACCATGTCCTCCCTGTTTTCTATGATCCAATGGCAAATGCTTGGAGCATGTTCTATGGATTCATGATTGGAAAGTGGTACACCTTCTTTCTTGGTCCATTTGATACATGCACCTATGTGAGGAAGATGGACCTCCATAGGTTCTTCTGGTGTCATATAACATTCATTGATCAGGCTCTTTCTTTAATATGCTGTGCTTTTCAGATTTTCAATTTTCTTCGCCATTTTTTCTGGTACGGTTTCTTTATTTATTGTTAAGGATGGGAGTGAGAATAATTTGTTAAATATAGAATGAATGAAGAGAAAATGAGAGATTTTCTCCAACAATTAAGATACAGCCCAATGAAAATAGCTGTATCTTTTGCCAATTTATATTAACTCTGTATTCACTTGTGAAATTCTTATGAAATGCACTAATAATTACTTTTCAATGCTCTAGTTTGCATTATTGTTTTTGTATCCAGCTGATTTATTGGGGCGGGATTTTAGAAAATTTAGGCACTCGGTAGTTATTATCAATTTCATGCAATGGATAAACAGTTCAGAATTCAGATGTATATTGCAGCTTATAAATTTTTGTAGTATGTCTTTGAGCTTTATGCGTGGGTTAAAATTATTGAATAAAAATGGGAATTAAGCAACTTCAAATTGAAACTAATGACCATGCACCAATAAAGCAAAGATTTTTTTTTTTTTTTTGGGGGGGGGGGGGGGGGGGGTTGGGGTGGTTGAAGCATACATCACATTATTTTGATGGACTGGTTTCAACAGTGAAATCATACTATCATAGGTAATATCCTTGTTTGGACACCACTTGCAAGGTTATGGATGTAGCTTTGGTTTCTTCAGATTGGTTGTTGCAGGGGTTGTAATAACTTAGTTCAACTTAAATAAGGTTTCTACATTTTTGACCACCTTGAAAGTTGTTTCTGTATTTACACGTATGGATTGCTATATCTTATGTGAAAGGTTATTGCAATATTTCACGAGGTATTTCTTTTATTCCTCCATCTTACTCCTGTAGCACTTGAACGAATGGTTAAACCACAGAAACACGTTTCACTACATTGTGACAATTTTTTGGGTCAACACATAGTTTTTTTTTCTTCTCCTCTTTTTTATTTGCATTTACCCTTGCTTTTGTGTATTCTCCTTGCCCTTGTTTGCTTTTAACTTGAACAGTTGAACCACACTCCTCCTAAAGTGTGTGTGGGTATATATATATTAGATAAATATCCTAAAGGGTGAAAGTTGTCAGTTTATTCACCTGACCAAGTCCTATAGTTGCACTACTTCTAATTTTTGTTGTCCATTGGTTTATGAATGTGTTGATCTTTTAAGTCGGTTCTTTTCTCTTATTCTACCCTCAATTATGTTCATCTAATTATTAATGGAAGCGTAGATGTCAGATTTTATTCTTCTTGTGCCACCATCTCATTGTTTCATTTGCGATATAGATTTTCTGGACACATTTCTTGACTATTTTGTACCTTGCACCATAACCATGGTGGTCTTACAGACATCTTGGATAATTTAATATTGATTTTGACATGCATGGGTTGATTACTCAACTCATCATATTACCCAGTTGGTGATCATTCCACTCTTTTTTCTAGAATGTTTTTAGGGCTTTTACGTGTGCATTAAGAATTATTTGATCATGTTTAAGCAACCTCAGATGATTTTGATTTTGATTTTTTTTTTTTTTTTTTCACCTTTGTTCTTATGTTTCTGTATTCGTTTTATTATGCCACGAAATGAACAAGTCTCTAAGGGGAAATAAAGGAAAAGATGAACGGTTGTTTCACTTGCCTTGACATTCTTTGACATTATTACCATTTGTGTCACTCTTATGAGCTATGGCTTGAATACCAAATTAATGCATCAATTTCTGTATGGAATGTGTTCTGAGTGCCTAAAAGTAAGTAGTAATCCCTAGATTAAAATAATTCTTGTTCAGGGAGGACTATTGAACTTTCCTGGAAGTTGAAATAGCTGTCCTTCAGGTAACTGTGTCAGGTCTATGACCATTTCTCTGGAGAGGTTTGATTACTTTGTGATTTTTTAAATCTTGAAAAATAGTCTGATGCATTTTGGTTCTCCTGGATTGCAGTATACTCCTGCTATTGATATCTGGAGTATTGGCTGCATTTTTGCGGAGGTATTGACAGGAAAGCCGTTGTTTCCTGGTAAAAGTGTTGTCCATCAGTTAGAATTGATCACAGATCTTCTTGGGACACCCTCAGCAGATACTATTTCTGGAGTATGGTGCATTACTCTGATTTATATTGGCTCACTTGCTAGTTAAAGAAAAGAGAAGGAAAAAGAAAAGAAAAAAGCATTGGTGTTAAAGCATTCTTTTACAATTAATGCAGGTTCGAAATGAGAAGGCTAGGAAATACTTGATAGATATGCGGAGAAAACATCCTGTTCGTTTTACAGAGAAATTTCCTAATTCAGATCCTTTAGGACTTCGACTATTACAAAGGCTGTTAGCATTTGATCCGAAGGATCGGCCAACTGCTGAAGAGGTTTGTTATTTTGTCTACCTCTATTGCTTGTTTCCTGGGTTTAATCTTCAAGATTCATTTGGCTATAGTCTGTTCCAAATCTCTCTAAGTTATTTATTTTTTATTTTTAACAAAGAGCTTTGCTGTGAGCTGCTTCTTCACAATAAAATTTGTTCTATTTGGATGTATCTGGTCTATTAGGCGCTGGCAGATCCTTACTTCAAGGGCCTGGCCAAGGTCGAAAGGGAACCTTCTTGTCTGCCAATTTCAAAGTTAGAGTTTGAATTTGAGAGGCGGCGAGTGACAAGGGAGGACATTAGGGAACTAATATTTCGTGAGGTACTAGAATACCATCCTCAATTGCTCAAAGACTACATGTCGGGAAATGAAGGCGCAAATTTTCTTTATCCCAGGTTCTAATTTTATTTTCTATCAAATCCATTTATAATTGTTGTCTTATTAGTTGTCCTGTTACATGATTCAAGCATCTCAATTATATGCAGTGCTATTGGTCAATTCAGAAAGCAATTTGCATATCTCGAGGAAAATGGTGGTAAAAGCGGGCCAGTTATACCGCCAGAGAGAAAGCATGTCTCCCTCCCTCGGTAAGACTACTTGTTATTTTACCAGTCTGTTTTTTATGCCTTCTGTTACCAGAAAAGAAGCAAAGGCAGTTACTACAAGTAGAATCATTTGATGCCTTGTGCTTGCCAGATGATGATACTGCTAGCAAGTTTCTTTACAAAATATAAGGGTGTGGGTTTCGAGACTTTCTCAAGCTTGAGACAAGCTGTAGAATCTCCGTTCGAGCTTGATTCTTGTCATGAGCTGCTCCTGAACACGTGAAAATTTTCCATTGTTTAAATTTTAGCCAACCACTTTCCCTCATATCCTGATCAATTTGGCAATAGAGATATGATTCACAATTTAAGAAGTTAACATGGGAGAAACAAAAGGCTGAGTATTATGTCTTTATTTCAGCTATTGTATATAGTCTAAAAGTCCTGGAGTGCAGTTCTGTGTTACAGGCACAAATTTTTTTTATTATGCAGTGAATGCTTGCAACTACTTCTTTTAGAGGACTAATATATAGTCATTAAAGTTCAGAAGAATTACAACTTCACCATCTCACCTTGTTCACACGCCCACCGGAACCAAGCTTGGGTTTGTTCAGGCTTGACTGTTCAATCAAAAGAGTCTGGGATGACAGGCTTGAGATTAATTCACGTTCCAATCAAATGAGGTTGAATGAGCTCATTAACAGGCAGGGTTTATTAGCAGCCCTAGATTTTTCTTTTTTTAATCCCCCAGCCCTCTTCTCTTTCCTGTTTCTTTATAGAAAAGCACGAAATAGTTCTCCAACGTCCTCTTTCTTTTTGCAGGTCTACAGTAAACTCTAGTACAATCCCTCCCAGAGCACATCCAAATATAGGGTCATTTGGTAATCAGCAAATTACAGAAGGGGTTTGTAATAACACTAGAGTTACAGATGCAATTTCTGGAAATTCACTGAAGCCTTCGCAGCCTCCACCTAGGGTGCCTGCAGGTAAGAATATTTACTGTGGATTTTCTTTAGTGTTCTTGTACTCAAAGTGGTTATCGGCATATATAATTACTTGGGGAACTGTGGGTTTTCTTTAGTATACTTTTACTTAAAGTTGTTATTGGCATTCATGATGATTTACTTGAAGAATTCAGGCCTTTTAAAAATGTTGTATATCCGATGTTGTGTGGTTTGCTAGTTGAGCATTGGGACTTGGCTACACTTGAGGATTTTTCCGTTATATATATCAGGACTTTCAGAAGATAGGAATAGGGGATTTGCATGATTTTACTTTGCAGTGGAAAACTAGTTAAGTCAGTTAGCTTCTTAGTTATCATTCTATGGCTTTGCTTTGTGGCATTAGAAGCTCTCTCTGGGGATTGCTACTGGAAGTATTCCAATAGCAATGCTATAGAACACCCATGTATTATCTGAAGCACATCAGGGGATTATCTTCCTTAGTGGTATGCTTGGATTGTTAATTGATTAACCTGTTTTACTATTCTATGAACTTTTTTTTTTATTATTATTATTTGATTTTGGTAATTTAGTTAAGTTCTGTTGATTTTCATCCAATTTAACTTGTATGAACGAACTATTGTCTACAAGTATGGTTGCCTAAGATATGTCCATTTGTTGTTCAGCCAAACCAGGAAGAGTTGTTGGGCCTGTTCTACCATACGAGAGTGGCAGAAATATCAGTAATACCTATGATGCGAGGGTAGCAGTCCGGAACACAGTTCCACCTCAGGCCATCTCCCCGAATTATTTTTTAAGAACTAACGCCGTGAATCAAAAAAAGCCTGGGGCAGAAGCGGAGAGGGATTCTGCACAAATCAAACAGCCCCCACAATGCAACTTAGCCAAACAGGCGACTGGCATGACTATTGACAATAACAGTAACAATCGTTACCAACCATCGAGGAAAGCAGGTCAATTTAATGATCAGATCATGATCGATGCAAAATTAGTGCAGGCGCAGTCTCAGTTTGGTGCAATTAGTGCTGCAGCTGTTGCTGTTGCTGCTCACAGAGAGGTTGGATCTGTTCGGTTTGGATTGTCTTAGAGGTTGGATCTGTTCGGTTTGAATTCAGCATTACGATCTGCAAATTAGAGAGCGAGGAGGGGTGATTGGAGTCTCTTCTCTGGGAGGCAGGTCTGTCTTGTTTCAGTCCGCTCTTATTAGTTACAAATTGTTCCTTGTAAAATTATATGAATAGCATCATTGAATTATAAATGAGACATAATTGCTTTTCAACCTTTTATTTTTTATTTTTTTTCTTTCATAGTTAACCTTTTATTTATTTCGATGGCTTGGTAGCGCTACTATGTGATCTTTTAATCCAGGCTCATATTCATGTATACAGATTGACTTGTAAAGAAAAATTTTGATTCGAAAAAGCAAAATCTACCTGAGGAATTACAAAAGGCATTGAAATTTATTTTGGATGTGATATACTCGAAGGAATACAAATGTAGAATTATTTCGAGTAAATGACAGGCCACTTGGTTAAGGAGTTCCTTGAGGACCTTTAGGAATCGGTATTTCTGTGTGACTGATGAAATTCAAATATCTAACAATTATATCGAAGATTCAAAATCTGTACCCCAAAATGTATAAAAGTTTTTATCTTGTGATTAATTTTCAATAAAATTTTCTATAATCATCTTTTGGAACAATAATGTCGAAGTCACTAACTGTCCACTCGGCAACTTCATTGTTGCTTATGTATACTTCGGTTCCCAAGTCAATTGAAGGCCAGTACCTCTCCACAGGTTCGGTTCCCGGATCCTGCAATACAATGAAGCCACCAATTACTGTTAGAATTAAAATTCGAATTTAACGCTGTTCAACCAAAAAACTTATGAAATTTTAAAAACATAACATTCAAATGTAACAAGATTCAACCATGTAAGCAGAGATCTTAGGATAGAGAAAGTTGAGCATGCCTGGTAGAAGTACAGTGCCTGAGAAAGTCTTCCAACGTCGAGTTCCCAAGTCCTTGGATCACCAATCCAACCCTCACCCTTCTTTGTCGGGTACCCGTATTCTCCCCAAGCTGGATGAGGGAGAATTTGCAGAATTTCCTGCGGCTGGGGATTGCTGTATGGATCACAAAAGTTATAGGGCTCCTCAGGATGCTCAGCATTGCCCGGAGAGCAATAAAGGTGATAAGCCCCATAGGGAAAGTTGTTCTTGTCCTTCCGATGGATACGAGTACCATTTGGAAGGGTGTGGTAAGGTGGGCACGAACTGAGACTGTTCAGGTTGCACCACGAGTCCGTGCTAGGGTTTATGATCATCTCGCTGTACCTAGTAACGTCCGATGTCACGTCCCCATCGCAAGCCTTGCCATTGTTCTTCCAACAGCTGCCAATGTCCATGAGGTAGAATTGACTTCTTGGACCCCCTCCTTGCTTTACCTCCAGTGTGAATCTCACTTTGAAATTTGGTGACTTTGGAATCTTCGAAATTTAGGATTATGGACAAATGATATCAGTACAAGCAAAGAAACAAACATGTTAAGAAAAGAAAGCTTTTGCACCACCTCACATGAGCTAAACGAGAGCAATTTCATGTAGGACACTTACAATTTTTGACATCCCTCTTGTGGGATAATGATACCCTCCAGAGAGACCACTTGTGGCATCTGACCTTAAGTAAAGCATCAACCAGGGGTAATTGGAGGAGGTCTTCAACAAATGGTGAAAAACCCAACTCCCTTTTCCAATTTCCTTCTCCCAAATGACTGAATAATAGGAAGTATTGTTTGCAGTTCTTGCATTCACGACATCTGCATCCAAATCCCATGTCCCATAGAAACTTCCCCTAAGACCACTCTTTCCTTGGCCTTCTTGTACACTTGTATACTCATGGTACATCAATGGCATGTTCATGCACCCTTTGCCAAAGCATGGAAACCGAGGTGTTGGAGGGAAGGGCTTCGATTTCTTGCCATTTTCCGGACATATGGCTGCTAACGTGTCCATGTTGCCGCTTTTGAGCATCACCATCCAGAACTGCCATGGTCGCGGCTTGTCCTCTACTTGGCATTTCTTGCCCAAGTATATCTCCTTCCATGCTGCATATTGATTGACGTCGATGTTATTTAAGGTTATCGAGGAAGCATTCTTTATGCCAAGCTTGTTGTCTTCTTCATTCACCATGTGAACTAACTTGACTTCATCCAAGAGTGCAACAAAGAACAATATTTAGGAAACATGAAAAAGAAGACACTAATTCAAATCATCAAAGCCAATGCCAAGTTTGTTGTTGATTTGTTCTTAGAAGTCTGCTGAACATGGCATAGTTGTTGCTGGGAATATAATCCTAATTGACTTTTAACAGAGGGAGAAACCTCCTATTTAGATATTATGTTTTGGACTTATAATTAATTCTCAACTCCGTTTAAATCAGACAAGATAAACACAATTATTTGAAATAAATCATAGATGAATTTTTTTTACACGTTTACTCAAGACTTCTAGTTCAAGTGTCTTTTTCAATTGAGCTGGGATCCTCTGTTGTTACAACACGGTGCTGCAACAGCAGGACGGCCAGTATCATTCATACGTGTGAGACTGCCACACGTGTGAATGATCTGACCGTCCACTACAGTACAACATGTACTGTACTACAGAGGATCTAGACTCTTCTCAATCAGGCTTAGTGGCATTTCTGCCCAAAGTTGGCCAAATTGGTCTTATGACTCTTATATGGTGCTTTGCCAACAGAAGATAACGCAATAGGGATGGCCAGTATCATTCACACGTGCGAATGACCTGACGGAATGATATTGGCCGTCCAATACAATACAGTACAATATTGTACTGTAGAGGATCCGGACTTTTCTCAGGCTTAGTGGCGCATCTGCCCAAGTTGGCCAAATTGGTCGTATTCGTGCTTTGCCAACAGACAAGATGACAAGGGTGTATAGGACAGTTTTGGACGGTTGCCCATGAGTACTGTGGAGCACTGTCCACCATAAGGGTCCAACTGAACCAAAAATGGAAAAAATGGAAGCGGTTAAGAACTCACCGGGCAATGTAGATTTATCAACGTCGAAGCAGTCTGCAATTCTTGGACTTCCCATATCAGGAGCTTCATCATCTACCTCATTACACTGATTCCATGCCTCAAGAGCCACTCTGAGACCATCCCTTCTCATCCCCGGATCACCTATGGCCGACACATATTCTCCGTCGGCCATGACAGACAATCCAGTAAGGGAATAGGCAAGCACAAAATAAACATACCATAGCTCCATAGCTACTGCTATAGATAGTGAATCTTCCTGATATACAACAGCTTAGAGATGAGATGAAAAGTAGCAGAGTGGTTATGTAAGCACATATCAAAAAAGTTGTTCTACCATGAAAGGTCTTCTTTTTGGTGGTTATATGACATGGTGTCATTCAAAGGATTACTAATATCTTCTGCCCATATGTGCACATAAAAAGGGGTCTCCCCCAAGTAAAAGCTTTGACAAGTAATGGTTGGTGAGAAGGTTGCTAAAAAAATTAATAGTCCTCTTGAGTTGCTCACAACTCATAACAGATATATGATTATATTAAGAAGAGTGCCATCACCATATACCCATTTGTCCTGATTTATCCCCCACTCTCCAACTTCCTGTTAACAAGTCATTGGCATCATAATAACAAAATAAGAAGTTATTTCTTGTACTCATCCCTTTGTCACAAATTTCGGTTAGATCCGAGGTTTTCGTCGGAAGGATTTGAAAAAAGTCAGATGAAAACAGCTTTATCTTTTGTACGGTGAACGGGCTGAGTAGGAATAGCAGCCCCTACTAAAATTTTATTTATTTACAAAATTATCTATATAATTTATAAAAATCTTAAAAATATATATACTTATGAAAATCTTTAAAATATTTTTCCTTAATTTTTAATAATACCTACTATATTATTATTATTCAATATCAGCCCAACCCATACAATTATCTGAATTGATAGTGAGACTATTTCAGATTTTAAAAATCTGTAAGTTTGGGGCAATATGGGCAAAGAAGACGTAGAGGGCGCAAAAAGAAGTGGGCCCCCTGGCCCATAGCCGTTGGTGGGTTTTATGGCTCCACTCCATGACTGACCGACGAGGCTGAGCCAGCAAGAAAGGAAAAATTATCCCGATGCCTCATGGCCCACTTAGGTTGACATTGATAACAACAGTAGCAGGTGGATAATAATTAATAATAATAACACACCCGTGACATAAGAAATCATATTGTATCTGCTGGATGTCATCATGTAATGTTCACTCTTATAAATTATAACGTGATATGGTGGACTTGTGCAACCATGATTTATCGCTTCTGAACTGTTTGATGTGATATGTCTCTTTCTGATTTTCACATAAAATTCGCTATAATTTATCATCAGTAGGTGCGGTTAAAACTTGTGCGGACACAATATTTTCAACTTTTCCATTTTCACCTACTTTGTGCTTTTCAATTTCAAATTCTAGTGCATGGAAGAAAATTGAGTTATTTGGGCCCCCAAGATTGACCAACGAACGAATTGGTAATTTTCAGATGCCAAATATTCATATTAGTCACTATGATCGTATGTGTGTGTGCATATATATATTTGTGAATGAATAAAATATTGAGAAATTGTTCGCACAAAATCATAATTATTGATTCATAGGGCTTTCTTATCTCTTCCTTCTCCGAGCTCAGGTTATGGAAGAAGAAGAAGAAAGTTGCAGTCCCCCGCCATACCATTGTTTTTCTTTCATAATTTATTTATTTTAATCATACATAATCACCAACAAGAGTTTTTATGAACTTGATGTTGATAAATTCACGAATCTAAAAATTTATGTCGGATAATTGAACCTTCTCAAATTGTTTGATTTTAAACCGGCTCTTTTCACGAGTCCTCTTAGTTGAGAGAGTAAATCTAATAGTTGAAGTAGAAATTCATTTTAATTGCCCCTTTTTTTTTCAAAATTAATGATTTACTTTTTTTCGACTCCCGAAACATTTCATGACACTCTTTCTCTCGTCTGTGGATGCTTAGATATCCACCATAAGCCTTTCCTCTTTTGAACCTCACTCTAAACTTACTTTAAGATTATGTCATCCTAAAGTGCTACTAAATGAAGGACGTTATCAACCTTCATGAATTACAAATCATACATCAAAACGCAGAATCCGAAAAGCCAATTCAGCAGCTTTTTATTCAATTTTTCGTAAAGTCAAATTCTCATCGGAAAAAACAAAGGGAATAGCCTCCTGACCGACAAAATACGACAGAGTATTATTAGGGTCCTAAGCTAGATTTGGCTAAACCTTGAAAACTTCATGCTATAATGCTTTTCAAACTAGAAGCAATAGGGAGCCGCCGAATACACCTAACATGTAAAAATAGATGCATAAGAATGTTGGTGTTCTGGAATACAATCATCAAGTAATAAGTACCAGAAATTCTTAGAGGCATAGTCCACTTTTCCGATACTCCCAAACATAGCTTTAATGATATTCATATTTCAAACATTCCCAAACATAGCTTTAATGGTATTCACACAAGTGCACTGTACAATAGAGAATCTGATTGCACTTCAGGAACATTTACATTTGGAACATCATTTACATTTTAAATGATGGGCTTCTATTAGAGAAAAACCCATTTATCCAACCCCTCGTTTTGAAAAATCTCACAAATAGAAATTGCAAATTTTAGCTCAGAAAAGAAAATAGTTACACCATCCACAAATTACTGAAATCGAACCAACTCAAGAAATACAAGGTTTGGTTTAGTTCGATGAGAATATTCAATTATTTGAAAATTCAAAATTATCCTCAAAAAACTTCTACATTCTCCAATTGAACCAAATCAGGACACCCACTAACTTGATTGACCAAAAACACAAGTAGGGCCAGTTTCGTTCTTCGGTTACCTGCCTACCTCGCACCAATGCAGATTCAAGTCCATCAAAGCGCCAGCAGCATTCAGAAGTGAATGAAACTGAGATTTCAGCATTGCAGTATTGTATTTTACCACCAATAGTTGTCGATTTAAGGCTCTTCTCCTATATTTCTGGAGAGAAGCAACAAATAACATCTACCAGCAACCACGTTAGGATGTTAATCCTTCATTTCGTTGGGAATAGTGCATCTCCAGATCCCGGCCAATGCACTACCAAAGATCGAGTGACAGACACTGGAAACTGCACATGGTACTGCAGTCAATGGATTTCCAAAGTGCTGACTAGCAAGAACCACACCAAGCACCGAGTTCTGAAACAAAACTGTTAAATTAAGAATTTTTTGTCCTACTAAGATCAAGTAATGGGTTTCAGCTCCTGTATTGTTAGGAATCGTCTACTTCATCGAGATATTATCCATAGAAGGCCTAACTATGATACAGAGTAGACATGTCGTCAAAATTTTGAATTTGTTTTGTTTTTAAATCAGTGAATAGTAAGACATCTATGCTGTAAAATGTTGTGAACAGTAGCACCGGATGAACTAAAGAACAGATGAATTTCAGAAATCTTGATATTCAAAATAGAAATGCCCACCTGCATGCCAACTTCAATAGAAATTGTTCGTGAAGACGACACGTACAGCCCAAGCATCCTTGAAAGTACATAACCAAAGAAAAACCCGGACGCATGAAGAACAACAACAGCTAGCACCACTTGCTGACCAGACATAAGGATTGCCGAAGCACTCTGGGCAATTGCATTTCCACATAGAACAGCTACAGTTGCCACAGCAATAGGTGGCATCAAAGGAGAAACAAATTTGACAAGGCTTTGGAAATACTGATTAAGAAAAGCACCAGCCAGTACTGGAAGAAGCACAACCTGTGAGATTGATATAAGTTATATTATTAATGACAACAACAAGAAATAAACATACTGATACTTAGATTACCGAAATGGGAGAATCACCTGGAGTGTGGACATAAGAAGCCCAACCGCATCTACAGCAACAATATGCCCAGCAAGCTTGGAAGTAAGAAACGGGGTCATGACCTGTAACATGAAATTGAGAATGTAAAACATACAGCTTTTTTTTCACTCAATGGAATAGAATTTAACTCCTGACAAGATGTTTGGATCCACACAATTCTTTAACAAATAGTGCCCCAGTACAAGTTGTCAATTTGAAATGTTAGCTTTTCCAAAATGTGACTCAATTGAATAAGAGAAGTGATAAAGATTTTACAGGTCATAAATCATCTCCGCGAGTTACAAATTTTCTAAGGATAATACGTGTCAAAGGAAATGAAGCACCAATTTTTATGACCGATTTTGCATTTACACAAATGCATTCAAAACTATATAATCTAAACACCACCTAGGAGAAGCAAACATATCACAAGACAGTTATGTTTGTTTACAAACCACGGCTGCTATGGTGCTTGCCGCTGTCATCAATACCGAAAGGGCCACATTTCCACTGAAACAGAGTAAGATAATCAGAATCCTGCCCAAGTTATTTAATTAAAAAAATTGATGACATTATTTTTAAAAAAATATTACATACCGTGCAATATAAGTGACAATGTTACTTGCTGTCCCTGCAACCATTAGACAAGAAAACCTTTTCAAAAGAGATGAAAATAATGGCATAAAAAGTAAATGTGCACAAACTAAGAAATATACATACCACCAGGGCAGCAGCCAACTAATATTTAGCCGGCTGCATAATGGGACGGCAAATTTAAGAGCTTGCTCACAAAATAACCTGATAATGGCATCACCTGCCACCAATTACAGAGCTTACCCTCTTTATAAATAATCAACACAAAACAATATGAGTTAAAGCACTTAGCAAGCCATAGTTAATTTAGAATATTGCAGTAGAGTCCAGCTAGGTACTAGGTAGGCCTGCTATTTCCCTTTCCATAACAGTTTCAAACAAACACAATTTGCCTTAGCTAACCACAGTGATGGCAAAGAAATTACAATTAGCCAAGAGTTCAAAGCATCTACATTTGGATGTATTGACCTAATCTAATAGACTGTAGAATGCAGTGGCAATCAACTATTGGATTTATTATGGTGAATATGTAATGTCCTAATGAATAAAAGTTGTGAACAGAATCTAATCTGCTAAAGAAAGGCAAAACTAAATTTATTACTGTAAAATTTATAATACATCCTTGTATATAAAGGAAAGAATGCCCCAAGAAAAGAACCCTCAAAAAACACCGGAGAGAGAGAGAAAGTAGAATGAAGCAGATGCCGAAATTGATGATGACGAAGGTGGGTGGGAAGACGAGAAACTTAGCGATTTAGATCTTGATGGGTTGATCTTAAAGCCAGGGTTTGTGTTTGATATAAAACAAGAAGTATAACCAACTTCTTCCATGAGTAGATGAAAGTGAAGACTGCATTCTCACTCTCTCCCCCTTTCTAACCCTGTAGTGTGAGAAGACAGTTCCCCAACTTAACTCACTGATCAATCACGCACAACTTAGATGAAAGTGAAGACTGGCATTCTCTCTCTCTAACCTGTATAGTAGTGTGAGAAGACAGTTCCCCAATTCAGTGAACTCACTGATCAAATCACTAGTTGTGCGTGAGGAATGATAAATGGTCAAACCCGAATAGTTGTGGGATGCGCAAGTTTTAGTGGAACGAACCCTGGGTCTAGTTTTTAATTTGGGCCTAAATGAGATGAATTGGGCCTCACCATTCTTGGACCAATCCCGATTCTGGACCGGCCGAGAAACTTCCAAATACAGTAAGTCACTAGGGCAAGGACAATAATGCTTTTTGGCTCCAGAAGGGTGGGATGAAAAGGAAGAATTTCCTTCCTCTAATTAATAATGGCCCTAACGTCAAAGCTGATTTAAGCATGCTTAATCTCATCTAGTGACCAGACTTAGAATTTTTGTTTGGGCTGAACATTTCTCATTTAATACAATGTAAGAGAACTTTAGTAGGGTACGTTTATTAATAGTGAAAAGTAAAATTGAAAGAAAATGAGAAAAAAAATAATAATAAATAGAGTTTTCAACATGCATATGGTTACTTTGATTTTATTTTAGAAAAATTGTTAAAACATACCAAGTGGTTTTATCTTTGATGGGATGGCACAGTGAATGAAGCATTACAGGTTCTGGTTCATGCGTCATCTTATAGGCATCGCCCACTGCAAACAATAAAGTGCAGCCAGTAATTTCTTGGATTGATACGGGAACAAAATTGAACTCTTCATTAGAACAGCTAGCTCAAACTCATATTATATCAAGGCAGATGGATATTCATGAAAGGAGTGATGTTTGTTTATGGTCACCTTCCAAAGCCTAGTCAAGGCAATATTGCAAATTGAGATTCTGCCAAACCAAAAATCAAGGCAACGCGCTAGCTAGTATAAAGGTCCTATGTTATAATACATAACAGGAAAACATGGCAACTAAAGGTGACATGTCAAAGGAAAATGGTAACATGCACACCAAGGTAAGAACTTAATTAAAGGCATACGAGGAGATATTGGACACAACATGAAAGAAACTTTCCAAATTACTAATTGATGCAGTTCAGATACCAAGTAAATCATATAGAGTAAGGCGGCCATACAACATGGCAGCAATATGGTTTTTAGGTACTACACCAAGCTATATATCAAGGCAATGTAAAAACTTGAGGTCCCAAAAAGCATAAAATCAAGGTAACCACAGACCAAGACAACATGATGGTCTATGTTTCTACTAGGTAAACCACATACCAAGAAACAAGCTTGCAGAGCAACTAATTATGAGCTAACACATATTTATGAATACTCTTAGCACAAGTATAAACACAATTATGAAACTAGCACTTGTTTTCAACTCCATTTTACTAATAAGCATTCTTTTTCTAACTTTTAACAATTAACAATAATTGTAATTAATTACCAGTCAATATGACACGGATTTTTTTCAAATATTATATATGCCTCCAGTTTTTAGATTTTCCATATGCTTAATAGTCAGAAATCACATTCCTCATTATCTATAGCTTGTTTGTCACATAGATAGCAGAGCGAAAACGCAAAGCTTCATGCAAAAAGGCTCCTCTGGGTAAATTGTCACAACAAAATGAGTTATGACTTTTGTACTGAGTTCAACAGAATAGCATGAGCTTCGTGGAAAGAAGAAATGGACCAAACCAAGTTATAGGTACAAAATTCCTCTTTTGCAAGCTCAATTTATCCTAGTACTAGCATTATTGTAATAATTACATTCAGGACACATGCACAACATAATGCATAAGATACCTTCTCTTTTGTAATGGTGAACCATCCGCAACACCTTCTCAATTACACATCCAATTACCAAATCACTCCTCCAACTGCCATTACCGATATCATCATGGAAAACAATTACCATCATGCATGGTTCTGTAATATCCTGCAACAAGAACCACAACCGGTAACAATGCTATTTAGTTTGTGCCAGAAAGATGGAAAGCAAGTTGATATCAAGAATCGGAAGAACATTGCTAGCGTTAGTGTGAATTGAAGGATTTTCTGAGCGTGAGGAAACAAGGCTTCATGCGGCAAGGGCATCTTTGGGCAAATTGTCACATTTAAATATCAATGACAAAATGAGTTTCGACTTTTGTACCGAGTTCAATGCACTAATGAGATTGAAGGAGCGAAACAGAAAGTACATGGGAAAAAATAATTGATCCAAACCAAGTTATAGGTACGAAATTCCCCTTTTCAGAGCTAACTTAATCCTAGTATTGGCATTATTTTAATAATTACATTCAGGACTCAAATAATGTACAAGATATGTTCCCCTTCTCAGTTACACATCCAACTTCCAAACCACTCCTCCAGCTGCCAATACCAATAACACTATAGAAAGCAATTATCAGCATGTACTCTTATGTCTTTTGTAAGGAACATAAGAACATAAGAAGAACAAACAAGAAGAGAACATGATCATAATTGATTTCCATGGTATTATTGGTATTGGCAGCTGGAGGAGCGGTTTGGTAGTTGGATGTGTAATTGAGAAGCTGTTATGGATGGTTCGTCATTACAAAAGTGAAGGTATCTTGTGCATTATGTTGTGCATGAGTCCTGAATGTAATTATTAAAACAATGCCAGTAATAGAATTAAGTTAGCTCGCAAAAGAGGAAAATTGTACCTACAACTTGGTTTGGTCCATATCTTCTTTCCAGAAATCTCATCTACGTTCACTCTTTCAATCTCATTAGTTCCGTTGAACTTGGTACAAAGGTCGAAACTCATTATGTCATTGATCTTTAAATGTGATAATTTGCCCAAAGCAGCACTTGCGGCATGAATGTGTTTTCCTTCTGCAAAGAAGAACCTTCCAACTACATAAATGCTAGCAACGTTCTTCTCTCCTTTGCTCCGATGCTTGATAACAACTTGCTTTCCATCATTCTGGCACAGCTCAAATAGCATTGTTACCGGTAGAACCATGGTTTCAATCTCAAACAATAAGGGACATTCAAAGAAGATGCAAAACGTTCTGAACAAGACGCAATGATATCCTATGCAATATGTAAGAAAAATATTGCATAGGATATGGCAAAAAGTCCTGAACAAGGTGCAAAAAGTTCGAAGGTGGCAAGGTGCTCAAGTATCAAACAGTGGGTCAGCCCTGCAATACATATCAACACATGACCATCAAAATGAACCCACATCCATCGTGATTAAGTTAGATAACCATATAGGAGGGGCAAAATTGACACATACTTGCCATCAAGTATATAAATAACTACACTCTATTTATTTGTTTCATATCTGGCTTATTGTGGGAATAACAGAACATGACAAAAACACCTAAACAAGTAGAACAGTTATAATAGAATGGTAAAAACAATTAACAAGTGCGCAAACCTCTTTAATTTTAGATGTGGGAACAGAAACGCAGAGTAGTCCATTCATTAGAAACCAGAACATCTGAAATTCAAACATGCATGAGAAAATAACATAAATTAACTATGAGTAAATTCTTGAGAAAAATGAAAAGAAAATAAAATTGATAAGTAAAGAAAAATGACAAGAAATTATTCTAATAGTATAGCAATCAACATAAGAATTCATAAAAACTTAATCAAAACTCTAAAGTATGATCCTTCTCATGACTGGCATGATATACAAATACTCAACTATAGAAAGTAAATGAAAGTTAATTTCAATATAGCTACTAAAATTGCTTGAGCAAAGAGCTGGCTAGCCATATAATAGTGCAGTAAGATGCTTCACCATTTAAACACATGCACATGCAAGCATGAAAATTCTCAACAGAAAGAGATGTTAACATTTAATACATCAAGATTAGGCGACCCCAATTAGTTGGGAAAAAGGCTTGATTGTTGTTGTTGTGAGAATATCAAGATTGACTAACATGAGTAAAAACGAGAAGCAAAAGCCCTATAATTAATGTACCAGATGAGATCTAAGTGCCAGAATTGGTAGTCTCTCAATCACACTAAAGGTTTTTAAAATTACCATTGGCTTAGGGCAATGCATAGTGAATGACTCCCAAGAAATGAGCAAAATGACACAAAATGAACTATACTAATTAGATTAGGCAAGCAGATCAAGAAAGGATTAAGTACAACATTTATTTATTTTTCTTAATTAAGTACAACATTTAATTAAAGCCATCAACCTAAAAAGGAAACCTACAAAGTTAAACAATTGACACTTGGAAGATAGAAGCACTCAGTTAGAGAAACCAAACACTTAAGCTCTTGATAGCAGGTAAAGCTGTTCCAACAAATCAACTACCTGGCCATTAATAGTCAGATGCTTCATCACCAAAAGATTACACAAAAATCTCAACAAAAAGAGCTGTAGTACAATGGTATGACATATAATGACAATTCACTCATATGAGCAAAAGTGGGAAGTGAATGCTCTGGACAGTGTAGCAGATGAGATCTAAGCGCCAATATTCTACTAAAAAGTCCACACTCCCACTAAAAATTTTCAAGTCCTCGTGTAAAAGCAATGTAAATGAATTGACACCCAAGAAATGAGAAAAATGGCATACACGTCCTTTAAATAAAATAAACTAACATACAACTCATATAATACATAGATATACACTTTAAACTCCTCGTGTGTGTGTGTGTGTGCGCGCGTGTGTGCGCTTTTGGTTCTATAGCCAAGTCCACATAGGCATCTGACAGTTTTCATTTTTCAAGACAAACATGTGGCTCTAAACTTCAAGTCAGTAAGCATTACATAGATGTGGTCCAACTGTATATTTCAATAATTTTTATTTACTATCAACATTGTAGTTGCCATCATCAAACTGCTCCACGGCACAAATGCCACCAAGGCTACTTGAAGCCACCACAACGCTAGGCAGACACAATGAGTCTGCCCCATCACCTGGTTATCTAAATATATTGCACCGTAGAATTTCTCAGGTAGAGACGGTAGAGTACTACCAAAAAGAGAAAGTTGCAAACAACAAAAGTTAATTATGAAATTTCGTGGGTTTATGAACTGGCGAGAATGATTAAAAACTACAGAAATGTAGAAACCCCCATTGTAGTAACCCCCAATCAAATAAAAAAACTAACCCACCAAAACCAAGATCAATATCATAGCAGCTAGATACACCTTAAGTTTAGACCTTCATTCAAACAATAAAACCAATATTGAGAAACAATACAAACAACTGCAACTCTCAAAACAGCATATTACTAATAAGGAGAAACAACATTTATGACACAAACCATTGCCTCAATTAAAACGCAAAAGGAATCCCATACTCCAATCATTGTTTAAAAAGTGGGAACGACCGTCAATCCACCGGACTAGGTGCATATAAAAAATTCAAAGAGATTCTTGAACGGGCACAACCAATAGAAGGGAAGAAAAAATATGGAAAGGGGCAATCCCCACAGAGTTCAGTCACTTACTTGAATACTCAACCTGCCGCTCAACTGTGATCTGTCGAACATGTCTTCCCAATGGGCATCATACCACATGCAATCACTAAGATTTCCCCAATAATTGACTGCTGTACTTCTAAAGGAAATGAGACTCTGATTGAATTTGTTTCATACAATAAGCCTCTACCTTAATCCCAACCACGATAATAAACCAGAAAATAAGGTATTTTCATCCCGCACAATAACTGTATGCACTATGCACTGGTAACAATTCACTTGCCTCATTGTTTCACTGCTGACATCTTCCAGTGGCCTGAGTACCTAATGTGATGGAGAATTTGCATCTGGCAACTAACCTACTGCCCTAGCAATACCACATGAGAGGAATCCTTGAATGAAGTCTTGCACACACACACACACAAAAAAAAAAAAAAAAAACTCTCCTAACCAAAACATAGATATTGAGAGAGAGAGAGAGAGATGCATAACCATCCAATTAAACTAAGATTTACGGCCAAGCCAAGAAATTTCCCTTGAGTTGGTTGGTGGTCAGAATAAAACAGATAACAGCCGATTGGAAAGATAGTCGGTTAACATCCCAAACTAAATGATAGGAGGAAAAGAGTAAAAACAATTGAGCCATTCTTTAAACATCCTTGCTCAGCAGCAGAACAAAATTTAGACACCAGACATATTCATAAACTTCTTGCTTGAAAGCCCTTATTAAGCTACACATACTTAAAACAACCAGAAAAGATATAGACCCAATAAGTTCCAAACCATAAATAGAAAGTTCATAGCATAGTTAGTGAACATAGGAGAAAGATATTAACCAAATTGACCATAAAGTAGTCACAGGGACCACGACAATAAAGGTTCAGTAGGAACAAAGAGTTCTGTCACCATGATGCAGACCCCCTACTTCTCTACAACATTCAACATTCATAAATCCTCAACTTTGCAAGGTGAAAACAAAATACATGCACAATTTGCAATTAGCTCCTATATTTAGATTAATATAGATAATAAAGATTTCGTAAAATCACAAATTTCTGTGTCTTTGTCCCTTCAGCCTCTTAAAACATACAATTGCCAAGAATTTAACAGAGAATGTTGCTTTAGATTAAGTTGAATGGCAAAGCCGGATTCATGTCACAGACAGTTGAGATTAAAGCTTCATAGAGTTGAATTTATATATATTTACATATGTGACAGAATTTATTTATTTTTAATTCAGAGAAATATCCACTATTTGTAACTATTATAAAAGTTAAGTTTTACACCTTTTAGTCTCTCTCTCTCTCTCTCTCTCTCTCTCTCTCTCTCTATATATATATATATATATATATATATATATATATATATATATTTCATCACTTGAAATTTCAGCCTTTCCTAAAAGAAAATAAAAGATTTTGACTAGAATAACAATGCAATATGATAGCATTGATGTGTTAATGATACTCCCAACTAAAGGATGGTCCATTAAGATATTCAAAAAGTTGAGATTAGGCTTTGTCGATTTTGATATCTTGCATTATCTTGACCAACAAAAAACTATATATCACCCTACCATGAAATGTAATTCTTCATTTTTTATATCAACAGGGTTGTTACCTTAGGTCCTTAACATCAGCATATAATAAAATTAAATTTATGTGTGGACATATTTATTTAGAGAAATACCATGTTCAAGATATCATTAAATATTCACATAAAAGAAATTAGTTAGTGCACGAATTAATTAATCTGGAGGCAATAGCATACAATGTTCCATGCAAAATATATAATATACTCAAGAACTGCAATATAAACGGAGTAGACAACAAAGAGAACTCAAGCAAGGATAGCAACGCCCATAATAGTAACTTAAAAGCTACAGGTTGCCGACAATTTTTATTTTCCACCAAGGAGGGAAGAAATAAGAAAGAAAAAGGAGGAGTGGGGAAGGAATGAAGAAGATGATGTCTGTCAACCATTACAGTTACGAGAATGAGGTGAGACTTTTGCTGCTGGGGAGTAGGGGGCCGAAGAGGGCTTATAACCATATTATGTGACATGGCATGGACATTTTAATATAAAGTTCACAACCTATATATATAACTTTCCATGATATTATGAGAATCCAAAGACATCTTTTTTTTTAATGGACAGTTCACCTACCTCCTCGGCACAAAATACCAGTCAAAACCCACACAAAATTCTGAATAAGAAATTTCACTCTCTGCCTATGGTACTATACTCTCATGCTGTTTATAGATAATCAACGATCTGACTCCAAAAATTCCCTGAACATGCCACCCAGAAGTAGAACTGACTGTAATTTGTGACTTAGAATGATAAATAACCTACGAACGATGATATTATCTGGCAAGCTGCCTCCAAGGATTTAGAACTCCATAATTGAAATGTTTCATAATTTTCATGCTACTTGCAGATTAAACATAGATATTTTCAGAAAGGACTCAAAGGAGTAAGAATCCAGAATTTACTAACCCAAGCCATATTTTATAATTTAATATAGGGAGGAGTATTGACTCCTAGAGAAGAAGAATTTTGACTTATATTTTATGAGCGACCTAAATACAAAACCAAGCTCAAGCAAAAAGGGACAATAAAGCTCCCCAACAGAAGTCAAATATCTGCCACACTCAAAAATCTATGTACCATCTTTGAATTCCTTGAAACTAAATAATGTTTAACACAGATGGCAGGCAAGAAAATAACAATAGAAGATCAACCTCACAAGGGGGCAATTATTAAGACATAAAAAACACGAGGGATCTCAATGAGGATCTTAGGGAATGCTAAACTAAACTTTAAGGTGTTTGCCGTAACAAACTAAACTTCTCGAATCTGCCGCCTTTTCATGATTGCAGAAGGGGAATCAAACAAATTCATACACACGTAAGGATAAAGAAAATATGGCAATGAAATGAATAGAAGATAGGAGAAATTGGTGAATATATTTGTGTTTGATATTATGAAAAAAAAACATTATACCGTGGTAACAAGATAATACAACTGTCAATATTTGAAGCAGGGACTACAATTTTCCAGAACAAATGAGCATGCCTTCAAACGTCTCTCATGAGAAAGCACTTGAAACACATCTAAACATCCAACAATTTCCAGAACAATGTACCACAAAGCACAAGTGAAATACGAAACCACATCTTAGACTGATAGGCATACTTTTCTATCTGTGTCCTTGAGATCGCTGCATATCATAAGCACCCCATGAACCAGGTCCAGGTCCATACTGAGGGAAGTTCTCTGCAGCAGCCTGTACCTTACAAGTGATGAACAGAAGAGGACATTCAGATGTCTCTACAGAAGCAGCTATTCCATATGATATACTACATACAATACCTAAAGTTTATTCATTAGAGTGCATGAGGGCATTGACAACATAGACCCAAATCAAGAGAATAAAACTTACAGGATTTATGCTGTAGCCCGCAGGATAAGGATTTCCTGCATATCCAGCTTCAGGATTGCCATAATTTCCATTATAACCTGCACTTGCAGGAACATAAATCAACACAAAGTTCAGCATATGATGAAGTAAAATTTATGTCAATAAATTTGATTCACGTATTCACAGGATTTCTTTCAAATGTCATCCATTACAACATTCATTCCATACCTGTCTGTGTGCATAAATAGATTTTGCTCAAGGAAAAAGTTATGCTAAGATTAAAATTTAAATAGTTTGCAATGACAACTGCTTAACCCATACTTATCAGAAAAAGAAAAAAGAAATGCCCATCATGTCTGCATGTCACAAAATCAAGAGGCAGATTTCTCAGCCAATGTGGGTTTCTCTTTACATCCTCCTAATAAATTTCATTTAATAATCAAACAAAAATATATATATTAGTGAATCCACTAACAAGACCAACCATAAGAGCATGCTGAGGTGGATATGAGTAAACCTATTAGTTATGATAAAATTTTATTTTATAAAAATACTTAACAAAAAAATTTAAAAATACCATTAGACCCCTCTATTAATGGGTGTTGTTTGAAACACAAAAACGTAGAAAGTAGAGGGCTTCCCCCTCTTATCCGTCCACTTTTGAGAGGAATGATTTGGTGGATCCTAAGGGACTTTCCCTCCTCTTCATTCCCCTTCCTCTCTTTCCTATCAAAATATGGAAATCCATCTTCTCTTTTCCTTCTTCCCACTATTCCCTCCTACCAAACAGACCAGAAAATATATGAACAGGACAGACAGAAAGGCTCCCTCCACACATGAATATGAAAAAGATGTACCAGCAGCGTCATTAGAAGTGGAACCCTCCTTCCTTTGTGTAGTTCGATTTCATTTGAGAGGGACAGAGACAGTCAATCAAACAAAATAATACCTCATTGAATCCAAACTATCATTTGCCAGTAGATAAGCCTAAGGGACATACCCGGGTTCCCAACAGCAACAACAGCAGCATGTGCTCTCTTTTCCGTATTAGCCATCTCTGCACGAAGTTTTTCCAACTCCCGAGCCATTGAGACCAATTTCTTCTCCATCACCTGCCCATGCTCATAGTTCTCTGCATATCCCTTCTTTTCATACTCAATGGCAGCCCTATACGCCAATGAAAGAACCAAAATGCTAATCACAATTTGGACCCAAAACCTAAGTGAAAAGCTAAGCACCATATTACCTAGCTCGCTGCAACTCCTGTTTCAAACCTTCAATATCTGCCTTAAGGGCTGGAGTCTGTTGTATATCTGCAGTAGCTCTGGCCAAATTCTGAGTCATTGCATGAAACTGAGCCGTCAGCTCTTGCCTTGAGGAAGTTAATTCCTTCATATCAGCGTGAACTTGCAAAAGTTCAGCCCTCATGGCCTCCACACCATGAAGATCTCTTTCCATTTCAACAGACTTCTCATATATTTCCCTCATCTGTGAATCCTTCTCCGAATGCAACGCATTGGCAAAGTGAGCCATTCATTGAAGCTCATGCTGGGCAGAATCTAATTCCTGCTTAAGTGCCACATGGGTTGCAGCCAGTCTCTGATTGTCAATCAAAAGCCCTTGAATATCCTCATGCTGAGCTACAAGTTGTTCCTCAATAATAGCGGGGTGCGGAGGGAATTGCCTGTGACCCATTCTGAATTGGGATTCCCTCATTTCTTCAAGCAGTGAAGGGTTGGGCATTTGGCCAAGTCCTCTACCGAAGTGAGGTTCATGAACAGAGGGTAATCCAGCATGCGGAACACCTATCATCGGAAGTGGATGCCCTCGATTTTTTCCAGACATTTTTTATCCCAAAAGTTCAATAACAGGGAAAAAAATTGTGATTCTTTAGTATTGGTAAAAAAACCTTCCCTAATCAACACACCTGAAGAAAATCAAAATAAAAAAAGTGAAGTCAACAACTAAGCTCTCTTGAAACAATAAATGAAGTTATCAAATTTCCGCAGCTGAAAAATTAATCGTATGATCTAATCTAATAAATGGCACTATGAGAAAACAGACAATTCGCAAATAATACCGGTCAAACTTGCCAAGTCAATGAGCATTAACGCAATACAAGTTCAATCAACAGAAAAACAGAGAACTCATGACACTAGATCAATAGATCCTAAAATTGAATTGAAAACAGAGACCCGAACCTATGAAGGCAAAAATAAAAACATACTATTAATAAAAGGATTTACCTTTATATTATCATTACAAACCCAAGAACATAAAACATTCAACCAAAATGAAGAAACAAGCTGAACACGTAAACCCTAAAAAAATGAAATTCTGCGTTGACGAAATTGTTTAAAAAAAAACACTAAATTAAACCTGTAGCTGCATGGACCATGGACATACGACAAATAGCGAATCCACATAAAAAAGAGTCTAAGATTGAAAACACTAACCTTCGCGAATTGTGAAGCTGTGGAACACAGACGAACAGTATCCTGTTCAAATCAGCACCATAAACCCTAACTAATATTATATAGTAAGTATAATATACAAGTATAAAGCATCCAAACGTATTATACATTGCGTGAAATAGCTTCTCTCGAAGGAATCATGATTGATGATCGAGTGCGATTTTTATAGAGCGTGCAACAATTTTATATAAAAAATTCGACATCGTAAATGTAACAATATTGCGACATTGACACTATTGGGTTGGGAGGATGAAAAAATGGAATAAAAAGAGAGGGAGTAATTTTTTATTTTTTATTTTTTATTATCAATATTATTATTATTATTATTTTGTTTCGAAGGAAGACAAATAAATAAAAAAAAATTATATTTTTTTTATCAATATATTCTCATTATATAAAATTATAAAAATTAGATATTCAATTTAAATTTTTGAGAAAGTTAAAAATGAAAAATTATATGGAGTACTTATTAAAATTATCCATTCTCTTTCCCTCCTCGTTTGATAGAAAAATGCAAAACAAGGAAAGATGCGTTGCTTCCTCCCTCTTTTTCCCTTCCCTCCAAAAAAATATGAAAATATCTTTTTATTTCCCCCTCTCATCTATTCATCCTCAATTATTCCTTCCATCCAATCAAATATACTATAAATGTGTTGTATTGTTAATTTAAAGTTATAAATTAATAATTTTTGAATTTTTTTTTTTGCAAAACAAAACTAAATACAAAAATATATTGGGTGAGTCGGGAATATAAAAAAAAACTAAATACAAAAATATATTGGGTGAGTCGGGAATATCATGTCATGTCATGCCAACCAATCAACATGCATCATTTTAATTTATTGAAAGCAATTTTTATATTTTGATGTGACCACTTTCACTTTCACCGAATGGTGCATACCAATTCCGGTAGCATTTTCTTGGTGTTCAAGTTCCAATGTGTTGCGCTTAAAACATATATATACAGAGTATATCCTTTTGTTGCGTGTAGGGCAATCGGGCTGCAATTTTGCTCCGTTTTGGCTAAGAATTTCAGTTGGTGATTCTAGGCAACGAGCTATACACATCTACCGTTTCAGATCTTTCATTTTATCTCATTTAGCCTCTCCAAGTACCAAGTTCATCAAATTGCTTACTCCTCTTTTGCCCACGTGCTGAGATCTAAACTTTTGTTATTGAGTTTATTGTTGATATCTCCCTACTTTAATGAGTATATTGTTGTGGTGAACCAAGAGTAATTTATTCTTTATAATTGTGGACTTCTTGTGGTTTTAGAGAAAAATGTTATGTACCCATTATTATTGCATAGTAAAACTTAAAATCCTACTGGGATCACCGTAATTTTTTCTCCTTACCAATTTTTTCACATAAATCTTCGTGTTACTTGTGAATAATATTATTATTAGATAATTGGAAAAAGATTATTGTTGCTTGTTTATTATTGTATCATTTTTCCGACACCATGTTGCTGCGTAAGGGTGTGTGTATTTATCTATGTATGTATATAGTTAAGAGATTGATCCTCATAGATATGTTTTTATATAATAATATAAGATAGAAAAGATAAGAAGAACACAACAATATAAGTGTATAGATTGGTCCTCAATTACCCTTGTTTGCTTAGATATATATATACACACACACATATCCACCAGCTATGTAGCACGAAAACAAATACGGGACATGGAGATACAAGATACGGACACGATACGATACGGATACATCGACACGTCAAATTTTAAAAAAGTAAGATACGGGTACGATGTAAATTCGACTACATAACAATATAAATTTTTATTAGTATACATCTATTTAGTATATAAAACTTTAATTCATTTATAATTTCTATATTAAGAGCTGCTCTGAAATAAATTAAAAAATAAAATTATGTCATTATTATAATAATTTTTATATCATATCTACCATTATTTCACTACTTTGTCATAATACTATTTATATTATTTTCAAGATTAATGGGTAGACTTGTATTAAAAATGTCCGAGAAGTGTCCAAAAAGTGTCAGTAAAGTGTCCGAAATAATAAAATTAATTTTTATTTAGGGACAGTATATGAAGTATCAGACACGTATCCTAAGAGTGTCGGTGTCCGATACCACATTACTCTTTCATAGAATTGTCCGTGCTTCCTAGTCCATCAGTATCAGTAGACGAAGATGGTTTTGCAAAGGAAAAAAATCAAATACCTCACACCTCCTGATTAAATTCGTCTAAATATTTTATGAGTTATGACATCCTTGCAACCCCGTGAGTGCCTTCATCGGCTTCAATCGGTGAGTAATTGCCAACGGCTAGTCCACAATGAGGCCAACCAGTCAACATCCCGGGCCCAAATCCCAACCGACGGTGACCCTCACATGAAGCCTACCAACTCTACAATATTGCTATTTGCAACGTACACAAATCCCAACCTTCCAAATATATCATACAAAAATTCTCTTCATTCACCAACACTTTCTATATATGTATTCTACACACACTTGCACACACATATATACACATATATAGAACTCATGGAAGCCCTGTGGGATTTGGAAGACAAGTGGAAGCTAACAACCCAAGAAGCAGTTATTCTATTTGTTGGCTCTGCATTTTTAGTCATTGGTGTTTGCACTGTGATGGTTCTAAAGAGGAGGGCTAGAACAAAGCAACTTGTTAACCAAGAACCTGATGATCGGGAGGAGGCTGAATCAGTTGGCACAAAATGGTTCGAGCCGCGGCCTGGTTGGTGCTCCATGAAGAAGGTGTTGATGAGCTCAGTACAGTGGAACAGAGCAAACAAGTGGGAGGAGAGAATAAGTGGGAGAGGGAGAGGGAGAGGGAGAGAGAGTCCGTCACCACTGCTTGTTAAAGGAGGCTGTGAAGCCGACGTTGGATGGCAGAGTCACAACTCTCTGTCACCGGTGTGGCAGAGGCCGATCCTCATGGGCGAGAAGTGTGAGCTACCGAGGTTCAGTGGGCTAATTCTCTACGACGAGAGAGGCAAACCAGTTCATCATTCAGACAAAGAAACTACTCACCTGCAGGTAAATAACTATGGTACTTCTATGGCCTTTTACTTCACAGTTCTTCTATATCTGTAGCCACCAACACTGTTCATATACAAGAGAGCATATCATATAAACACCTTATGTACATAATGAGCAAGAAATTTTCAATGACATTTGTGGCTAGATTCAACTTTTTCATATTGCAAGATTCCCAAACCAAATTGACAAGCCAGTTCTACCCCATACTAATGGATCATCCATAAATACTTCTCAAACTAACTTGCTTTCTGTGCTGCTGTGTTTAGGAAAATATGGCTACTGTCAAGAGAACAAGTCTGAGAGATTTGCTGTGATTCATGAGAAGCAATGGCCTTACAGTATAACGGCGAAACAAGATTCACGCAGACGAACCCAAATAATTGGAACAAGATTTTGTTGAGCTTAGTTGTGTGCATCAAAAGATATTGAGTTGTAGACTGTAGGTCAGTTCTTTTCTGCAATTATATAGTAAAACATGCCTGAAACAGATTTCCCTGCTCACATTTTTCCTTGGAATGGCAAGTCATTGACCTGCTTTACACACATTTAAGTAAGCAATTTCAGTCCCATCTGTTTTGTAAATTGGAACAATCAAGTGCACTCAATTCTAAAATAATAAAAAGAAAAGAAAATGGGAAAGGAAGTGCACAAGCTTGGACACAACAGCAACATCCAGCTCATGTTTATAAATTCTTCAACATATGGCTTAGGACAAACACAGAATCAATAATCCACAGTCTAATCTATCAGCATGAATGCATTTTTTTTTTCCCATTGTGTTTTCCTCTAATATAAACGAAGCCTAAGAGTAAGAGAACTAATGACTCAAAAGAGGGAAAATAATGTAGAGAGTTCTCCCAAAAGTAGAGAGAACATGAGAAAGTAGACAATTCTTCATGTTTCATAATGTTTGGCCTCAAAATATGCACTCAGAATTTCCCAAATGGTTTGGACATTTTCATTTCTTTTGGCTGCTTCCCAGGCTTTGCTGAGAAGTTTCCTTTGGTCTCATAGTTTAAACTCGTTACACAAAAGGGGTTTCTGAACTATTCTTTTCTGATGAACTATATATTATGCTTGTGGGAAAAACAAGACACTTAAATTTCCCACTGCCATTTAACCATGGAAGCAATCTTTAAATATGGCCCCAATCAACCCAGCTAATAAACACTTCTAGCATGAGAGGTTGCTGCCAAAAATATATAAATAGAAGTACATTACAGAATTATAATTTTTTTTCACCAAGGAATTGCCATTAGCAGCACATGGCGGTCAATATTGTGGCATCAAATAAACTGTGAAATTTCAGATCTCCGAACCCTGATGGAGCCGTTCTCTTGCATTCTTGTCTCAATTTTATCACCTTCAGCCCAACAACCTAAATCTTCCTTAAGGTTTCATCACTGTTCACTATACAGCATAACCATCTTCCCAGCTGCTCTTTTATTATTATTATTATTATTATTATTATTATTATTATTATTTAATAATCATCTATGGAGAACGTCCTATTCATTCCCAAATGCCTTCTCCTTTCATTCGGAAACTTCTGAATGTACCATCTTCTTCACTCCCGATTGTATCTTTTCTTGATTAAATGACGTGCTCCTTAAAAGTATAGCAACCTTATGCTTACAAAGATTTATGCTTTGGTTAACTGGAATACTATTGTCATGGAACCTGCAAACGGCAAAAATCTCTGTTTCAAGTAAATACCCATGTTGACGGACCAGCATGATCCAATTGGCAAATTTAAATTCATTCCCCCAAACTGAACAAACAGAGACACTAAAAATAATTCTTCTACCCAGGTTACTCACTGGCTCTCCGCGATCATACTCGGTACATTCAATGCATTCTTTTCAGTTTGACTTTAAACCAATACAATCCAAAGCATTCCTTTACCATTCTAGTTTTGCATTCCACCACCTTGGAGTTTGTCAACACCACCTTGACCATACACCAAGGAACCTCAACTTGGTTTCGGCTATTCTAATATTTAGTCCAAACACCAAAAACAAAAATTAAGCTAGACAATTGAAACTAGAAACTTTTTGTTTCACCCACAACTACTCAGTCACCAATATATATATATATACATATATTTATATATGTATGTATGTATGTGGAATTGTGGATATCCACCATACTCCTGATGTAAGTTAGTAAAGACCAGGTGTGAATTCTTTTGTCTATAAACCATTTAAGTAAAAAGAGAACTCCATTTGAACACTTTCTAATATGATCCCATATCGTATTTTTCTAAATACTTGTGTATTGCCTTAATCTAGTTACAAAAGATAATATATGAGTAATAATTTTAATCGGAGAGGTAGCAAGTACAGATTTCCAGACAACTCCATAGTTAATGAATTAAAGTACCATACTTTTCCTGGTACAAGCATCTGATATTTTCCTAGTATAAAGTATTTTTATTAAACTACAAGGCTGATCAACCAGTCTACTTGTTCTCATGCATCTCACATTTTTTTCAATTTACTTGGAGCAAGAGCAGTTGCTCTCTTCAATGAAGCAAATTTGTCACCTCATTAATCTTACTCTAACTATAACAATGCGCATAGGTTCTTCTGAGTCAAACCGCTCTTCCACTAGTGCAACATGTATGACGTGATTCCTGGTATATTCCAATCAGTAGCCACCGCATAGAACCAAGAACTTGGCAGTCGTAACACAAGTCTCATCGTCCTATCTTGAAAAATGGGAACCTAAACCGAAGTTCATCTATCTTTAGGTTTATCCTTGATTATTGCTTTCTTTGCTTCCTTTTCACGTTATTGCGTCTTTACCATTTCACCACCTCTATCACACATCAAAATCTTTCAGCAAAATATTTTTACCTATGACCTTATCAAATTCCCAACATTCCACCACAGAGCTTCCGAAGGTAGTTGGCCTTAAGATTCTCCATATACTTCTCTTTGTGCATTTCTATTGTGATAGGCTATTTCAATATAGATTTGTGCCATTTCTAAAATTCCATGTGCATTCCACAATAAACTCATCTCTAAATTTATTACTCGTCTAACTTACTCCACCTTCAATGTGGTCCTTTTTAGTTCTCAGCCTTGCTGGAATTTTTGAAGCAAAACTGAACTCTACCAAAATTAGGACCTTAAACGAAGCAATTAGTTGATAAGATACACATCATACACTACAAAAATATGTGCATTTAGTTCAAGAAATAGGTGCACTAGTTATTTTGATATGTAGATATATGGATATGCAGTGAGAGGTTAGAAACAATATATTAAAGAGATGTTTAGTGAATAAGTAATTTGAAAAGAAAAACTGTTCAGTGGATAAGAAACAAGCAAAAATAATTTAATGTACTCAAATAGCACAGATTCAATGGAAAATGATAAAACATTCACCTGTGGAGAGGAATTTGACATACAGGAACAAGACTTTCTTCCTCTGTGTGATACATGTCTCATAATATGGTGACAGTAATCAATTATAGAGGATTTGAAACATATATTGGAAAATCAATTGCAAATAAACTCTATTACCAGAAAAGCAAGGATATCCAGAGTCTAAAAAACATAATTTGGAATATAGAAAAGAAAATCCATTTGGTTAATCTTCGTGATTTTAAATAATTAACAGGCAGGTATTTTTTTTTACTTCAATTTGCATGTCATTCGTAACCCAGATCAGGAAACAAAAAGATGAACCTGATGCATTCAACTGAGTACATGAATAATTGGCAACTAGTACGGGGAAAGCCTCTGGCAAGTGCATTCTTAAACCCAAAATTTATGTTAGATGCGGTGTTAGGTGTTTATATGTGTTCAAGCATCATATTTATCAATTCCCTAAATCCAAAACACAGAAACATGGCTAATTATTAATATTTTTTTAAATATTCTTCTTTCATTTTTTAGGGCAAAATGATACTTTTATATAGTATAGAGGGTTCGACATGAATATTTTAGTCTATTTTAAAGTAATTATGTAACAAAAGAAATATAAGAGAGTTTTGGAAAATGTTGTTGGAGCACTATATATGTCGGACACACATCCCATATGTCCATAACCATATTCATGTGTAGCATATCCGACAAAGGTTGTTACGTTTGGAAGAGTTCAATAAGGTCATTACTATTTGAAATCAGAAGGTACAAAGATAGTCCAAGCAATGCCATTTATTAAAACAGAAGGTACAAAGAACAGTTTATATGGGAAAGAATTTCAGCAGTCAGACAGATTATGCCAGTTAATAAAATTGGACAAAACATAATCTTGTGTAGATACACCCAGCTTCTGAACTCTCCACTAAATAAGTAAGGGAACCTCAGTATATAACAATAAAAGAATTGAACAAAGCAGAGGGCAACTGGTAGGCATATGAAGCTAACTTGGTGAGCATACCCATTCATCCGTATGACACTAACAACGGTTCTCTGGAGTCTTCTTTAGATGCATTTTTATAATAAGAGAACAAAGCCAGTTGTAGAATCCCCAGAACAGTTCCTATCCCATTTGGGACCTGAAATTCAAATGAAGTATTATTTGAATGTGAGACAATATTGCAGAATAGAACTTATGGTTTTGGAAACGTGATACAAGAGCAAGAACTTTTAAAAGAAGGAAAATGAGTGTGCCAAAGAAGCTTACATATACAAAAGGATCGGAATTAAAAAATCCATACAAGAAGAAAGAGGTGCTCATCAAGAACGTGGAAAGGGAAAGACAAAATGGCATGAATTCAACACTCTTTGTTCGGATCACCAAATTCTGAAAAAATTGCATAACCAATATAAGTAAAAGTGCTGTGAAATATTAAGCAATTAAAGGTTATGAACCCTCCTTAAAGAAAATAATGGGAAATGGATAAACATACAATTATAAACAATGGGGAAGCAAACATTGATATGAGAGAAGCACCACTGAGAAACCCAATGACGGCACGTCGAGTGACACCGTCAATTATTTGCAAACTCCCAACTACTATGATTGCAAATAGGCCAAAAATGCCCAGCAGCAATCCAAACATCCTCAGCTGCTTGCAACATCCAAAAGTCAAAGAATGAGAAGCCAAGGCAACAACATGAGTGCTTTTCAAGGAACCCTTGCAATAAGAAATATAAAAAAATGCTGGGATAACAAACCTTTTTAGCTTTCTCAGCATATGTTATGTAGAGAATTATATAGGTCATTTGGAAAACCGCACCAAGCGAATTGACCGTCATAACTAATATATTATCAGTAGATACGACAGGGGTGCCGTACCAAGCACAGATCAAACAATTCAAGAGGGCATATATATATGGCAACCCTGAGAACTGTTCCGTTGACTGATTTCTGATGATTCTCCTAAATGTGGGTCTGAAAAAATTTAGAACAGATGAAAAATAGTGAGGGGATGACTCGGTATTCATTGTTTATTGTCCCTCTTTGATGTTTAGAAGTCCTACCAAACAAAATAGAACATTCAGAAGGGAACTTACATCGGCGACACAAACAGCCCGAAAGCAAAGATATTCCCTGCAAATTCGCAATACATATGCAGGTATGAGCATCACCATAAGTCTTGGATCATGCTTGAAATTTTCATCTTTTAGTGAGGCGAATAATGCTCAAATTAAACCCCTCTTTTACATGCATTGATTTTTTCATACTCAAATTGATTCCCAAATTTCTGTAAATTGTTTCATAAATGTTCAAATCTAAACTCCAGATTCTGAGAGACTTCCAAGGATGAGAATTTCCCAGTTAGTTATCAGACGGATTAGGAAGCATCTCGCCTCGGGATAGACTTATTGCATATGAATGTGTACTTCTGAGTATATAAGTGCTTCTGCATAATCTTATGGTGCTTTTTATGGTTATCATGTGAATTGATCACACTTTTGCAAATTTTATCAGCTGCTTTACATGGGGCAACAAAAAAGGTCTTCTTCAAAAGTTCACTAACCAAAAGAGTAAATTTACAAAAACCCAACAATTCAATCAAATCACTCTCCATATTAGAAAAACAATACAGAACACTTCTGGTTCAAAAACGAGACACTTTTTAGCAACTCATTCAAGAAATAACCAGTCCATCAATTAAGAAAACCCAAGAACCATTAAGTTTCTCAAAAATAAATAATATATAAAAAAATAATAATAATAATAATAAAAAAAAAAGGTATAGAAAAGAAGTTATTAAAATTACAAAGAAATCCATGATACATCTTCTATATTGCACATCTCATTTTCATTGTGAAAGCCAATCTAAGCCATTAATTAAGAATATGCCAAATTCAAGTAATCATCACAGTATATACATCTTGTCAAATTAAAGCAGTCACCAGAGCAAATAAACACATTAATATATATATATATATATATATATAGAGAGAGAGAGAGAGAGAGAGAGAAGGAGAAGAGGTACCGGCGATTCCGGCTGCATCCTTGCAGATTATAAACGTTTGATTCGAACCCAGAGAAATCATCAATTGATTCAGAGTGAACTACCAAAGCCACAAGCAATTTATCTCAATACTACCCAAAAGCCCTCTCTCTCTCTCTCTAAAATCTCTGTTTACAGTATATCTCTCCACGTTTGAAAAATGCTAAATTTGAGTGAGCACTTGTCAGGCATTCTTCATAACATTATATATATATATATATATATATATATATATAACCGCTCTTTGTTTTTTACATTTTGTAGCTTTCAGTCCAGTAAAGAATGAAGGGGGTAGGGTCTATTCGGACAAGGGTAGCTAAGCAAAGCTGACATAGCTGGACAAATTTTGATGTGGTGGGTGGGTTCCATGTCATGTGGAGAAACCAGAATTTGATTTTCAATCTCAGCCGTTGATTTTCTTCGCCAACTTCCTTAAATAGATCCTAATGATTCAATGATAATCACAGTAATTTGATTGCTTGACGTGTAATTGTCCAATGATCCACAAGTTTACTTTACAGTTGATATTTACTCAAAAAAAAAAAAAAAAAAAAAAAAGAATGGAAAAAAAGAGTGTTACGCATGAGATTAAAAATATAGTCTTATCGTTGTCCTTATCAAAAATATATATATATATATATATATATATATTTTCCTTTTCTTTTGGTAAGATATAAAATATAAATAAACAAACAAACAAATACAAACAAACAAATAGTAATTGCCCAAAACTGGAATATACTTGTGATAAAAAGATATTTGTATTAGCAAAGTTGAATTTTCTCTCTTGAATGCGAGAATGTTCGAGGAACATCTCGAATGCAAGAATATTCCAAGGAAAAAAAAAAAAAAAAAAAGGGAACTTAAATAAAAGATGAATTATATGAAGAAACTTTAGTTATGAAAACCTTTTTCTACTTTTTAATAAATAAATAAATAAACACTTCAATAAAAGATTAATTTTACGAAGAGACTTTAGTTATGAAAACCTTTTTCTACTTTTTAATTGCTCCTAAGAATGAATTTAAGTGACATTTGACGGATAACATTTATTTTAGATTCAATTCTGAATAAATATTATATTCAATTAACGTTTTACTTGGGATATTTTTAAAAATCACTTTTATTTTGTAACCAAGCAAAATATTACAATATATTGGGCTCATTTGGTATGCGCTTTGTTTTTTTTTAAATAGAAACATTGTTTTTACTGCACGAGTGTTTTGAAAAAAAATTAGAAGCACGTTTGGGAACGATGTTTTGTTGTGAAAATGTCGGAAACAGAAATATACACAGTTTGGGCCATGAACAATTGTCAAAAAAAATATATATATCTTTTTGGGGATTTGATTTGGGCCACTGTTCACGAAGTATTTTAATACTGTGTAAAATAAAATAAGACCGCACCAAACATGCTTTTATTACTATAATTAACACTGTAACAGCCCAAAAACAAAAACAATAAAATCAAAACGCATATCTACTTTCCTTATTTTCATTGTGATTTGAACAACATCACAGTTTGTTGTAAATAAGAAATTGATATTTCATAATATTACTCTACATGACCATTTTTAACTAAACATTTTTTTTTTAAATCTTACTTTCAAAAATCTTTCAACAAACTTTACAAAAAATACAAAACAAAAAAAATTGTCAACAGGAAAGATACATCAAACCTCTAATTACAAAGTTTTACCATTCCATTAAATTTTCACACCTTATTATACTACCATGTCATTATTAATTTTATAAAGCTTTTTGACTAATATTTTTTATTTAATAAACCCCCCTTTATTTTTTATTTTTTTTTGTTGAGTTAGTAACTAATCTCACATGTCAACATATGAATTGATCACAATAGTGGGGAAAAAAATACTCTCTCCGTCCCTTATTAGTAGTCTATTTTTCTCTTTTTACTTGTTCCAAATTAATTGTCATCTTTGAAAAATCAAAGTATTTTTTCTTTATATTTCCATCATTATCCTTTATCTTTTTAAAAAATTTCAAACTTTGTAACTATATATATTTAAATTAAAAAGGATAATTTGGTAATTTTAAAAGGGGACAATGTATTAATTGTATGTCCTCTGAAAAAGTTATAAAACTAAATATATACAACTAATAAGGGACAGAAGTAGTATATATATTGATCATAATATATGTTACAGTATTCAGATTAAACAAATGAATATTGAAAAATAATGCATGGAAGAGATGAGAGTTGAAGTGAATACCATATATACGGGATATACCATATATTCAATAAATCGAAATTGACCTAAAAAAGTAGGGTCAATGTATATCCATGGAATGGTGCACATGCATTAAGTCTAGCTGTACATTGAATTGAAATTAGGGAAGAAAAGTTATCGTTGAGAGTTATCGTTGAAATTAGTTTATAAGTTATCGTTGAGAGTTAAGGAATTTTTTTTCAGTATATTCCTCTTTGCTGGTAGTGGTAGCAAAGCATATTAAATTCTGCAGGGCAGTATATATATATAATTAAATTAGCATAACTTGCTTGTTAGTCGTGCATAAAATAATAATAAATAAAAATAACTTTTTCTAAAAAAAAATAATTATTTTTATTCATCATTTTAAAAAATAATTATTTCTATTCATGGTTTCTTGTTTGCTTGTTTCGTCCATGGTACACAAAGTCTAAAGAGTTATATATTTTATTATAATAATTTTACTTTTCATACTCGATACAATAGTTATGCTTAGTTTGATTGGAGGGATGAAAAAATAAATAGAAGAGATAGGAGGATAGATGGATGAGATATCCCCAGAGAAAGGAGGGTGTCTTTCCCATTTTATGTTTGGTTGAATAGAATGAATAGTAGAAAGGATGAATGGAGTGATATTTTTTTCTTGTTTTGTTAGAAGAAAAGGAAGGAGAGTTCTTATATTATTTTTACCAATATACCCTTTTATATGAAATTATAAAAAGTAAATATTTATTTCAAAAATTTTGAAAAGATTAAAATTGTAAATTATAAATATATAGTTATGCCTTATTTCTCTCCTCTTTTCTCCCCAAAAGTGGGCGGATAGAAAAATATAAAAGGAGAAGGGATGAAGCATCTCTCCTTGTTTCTTCCCTTTCTTCTCTTCCCCCAACCAAACACGAAAATATTCATCCATCCTTCCTCTCATCCATCCCCTCTCAGTCCTTATCATTTCCTCCAACCAAACATAGCATTAAAGACTTCTTTGTATACGAAGAATAAATAATGAGAATGAAAATAGATAGAAAATACTCCATATGAAACATATAAATACTGAAAGATTTTTCTTTACAAATTTTTTCAGTATCTTTATGAGGAGGCCCAGGACGACATGGGCCGGATCTAACTTGCAAGCACTACATCCGGTCCGTACAGCTGGGTCGGCCCATATAAAGACACTGCCATATGGGCCGAACGCGAGCAAGCCCATCAAAGGTGACCAGGACTTATGGAGGAATAGGCCCAGATCCAGCAATTAGTCAATATTTGTAAATATCTTGTAAATATCTATAAATAAGGAAAGGAATGGAAGAGATGGGGGATCTTTTTGGGGTTGAAGTGTAAGAATTCTAGAGAGAAAAAGATGAATGAATTTCTTGCATCTTCAATTGGCGCCGTCTGTGGGAATCGCATGGAAGTTTGGTTGATCAATGAGGAATATCGAGTGGATTCAGACCAATTCGGTGGATCGAGACTCGATCTTTGGGATTTGGATCCAGATCTGAGCGATTGTGACCTACTCTGGAGGAATTACAATTCTTGAAGCTTTGGCAGAAGTGGCTTCAGATCTACGCAACAACGAGTCGTTCGATTGTGGCGGGATCTGACGGATTTAGAGTTCAGACAATTCAGATCTCGTAAACGGTGAGCGTAATTCGGAGAATTCGAAACCAGATCTGAAAAATTCCCACTCACGAAGCTCAGATCTACTCGCGAACTTGAGATTAATGCCTTTACTCCGTTCAGGAATAATGATAGGTGAAAGCTCCAATCCGATGGAGGCTGTCCAGCAAACAAAGCTTGAGGAGTTGATGAACTTGATTGAGGCTCTCAAAAAAGAGAATGCAGAATTGAAAGCTGGAATGCAACATCGGCAAATACCTGCGGTTTCGCATCCACTTCCGGTCGGTGAAGGAGGTGTTCAATCTAATATCGCGCGTCAAGGTGAACAGGACGAGAACAATCAGTCAGCTCACCACCGTGATGAAAGGATGATGGACAATTTGCCGCCAAATGTTCGTCGAGTTGAAGATCACGAAGGATCGACTCACGTTGATCAGCATCGGGAAAGGTTCGACCGAGAGGAAGTGATAGAGGTTGATCGCCGTCGAGTAGCGTCGCCTTGGCAAAGAAAGTTCATAGAGGAACGGTCGTTCGATCCGTCTTACCGGCCCTCCATGGCTACTATCACTCATCGCGGTTCGGAGGGCAGAACCGTAACTCACAGAGCTACCGCTGGACTCCAGAGAGAGAATGAAGCTCTCCGATCCGTAGCTCGGACGGTTGATTCACCATTCACCGACGAGATCTTGAATGCCCCGCATCCAAGGAAGTTCGCTATGCCAGTCTTTATTCTGTTTGACGGAACAACCGATCCGATCGATCATGTGTACCATATCCAGTTGAAAATGGCCCTGAATACGGAAAACGACTCTTTAATGTGCAAATGTTTCCCTACAAGCCTGGCCGGACCGGCGCTCAGCTGGTTCAAAAACTTGCCTAGGAGCTCCATTGGTAGCTTCAGAAACCTGTGCAATCGGTTCATAAGCCAGTACTATGGGAACAAGCGCCCGCCGAAAGACATCTCGAGCCTATTCACGATGAGGCAGCACAAGGATGAACGTCTCCAGGCTTTTCTTACCAGGTTTAACCTCACTAAGAGTATGGTGATCGAATGCCACCCTTCTACAGTAGTTCAAGCCTTCAAGTTAGCCATGACACGTGGAACTCCGTTTCACACCAGTCTGGTAGTGAACACGCCAACTACTATGGATGAACTCAATGAAAGAGCCGATGGCTTTGTGCGCCTAGAAGAAGAGGAGGCAGCTAATGCTCGGACAGCGTCGCTCGTGTCGACCGAGGAAAAGTCCAAGGCAAAGATCAGGCAGAAGCAGGCTCAGCCGCAACGTCAGACCTCTTGGAAGGCAGAAAAAAGGTCCAGAGAGGAAGAGCTGATTACTCCGCTGAA